AAGTATTTTTTATTTAAATTGATGAGTAAAATCAGTTTTATATAAAAACCATTTTTTTAATGAAAGTATATTTGTTATACCTATGAAATCGTTCGGTATCAAGGTTCGATTCCCCGTCCATGTCGTCGTCTTGCGAACCTATCTTTCGATATTTTCCGCTTATAATATTTCGTCGACAATGATTTTAATATAGCTGACATTTCATCCCCAGCGGACTTTGACCGCAACACAATATAAGAGATGTCAGCTTTTGTGATTGGAAAGGCGAAATGTAAGGGCTTGGACAGTATTATTATAATCATAAAATAATTTTTGAACTTGGCCCATATTAAGTAGAAATAATGCTATTTATTATGTATATCTATATGCCGAAAGAAATTATATAATATATATAGATTTGCCACAAGATTCTGTATAGTTAACAAAGGACCTCTTATGCCCAATAATCTATTTTATGTTTAAAATCATATAAATCCAAATATTATAGTTATATGGTAGTGAAAATTTTCTGCCGCATTGTACATGTTCTTGACCATAACTTGATATAATTTTGTTAGGTCAACGTATTACACTGCAGATGTTAGGTAACGTTTTCTTGAAGGCCATAGGTTCAGAACTTTAAGCTAGACGTAGTAACTAGTAAGTGTTAGTAATTAAATGTTATTTGTATATTTAATTAATTTTATAGTAAATATATATTTTTTTATGAAGGAAGATAAAATAATCCTTGAATGTTTCAATATATTAATTATACAGGGTGACTGGTGAATTACTATCAATATTTAAGGAGAATACTCGGTACATGATTCTCATTCGAATTATGTACAAAAAATAGGCACTTAATTTTTGACAAAATTTCCGTATAAATAAATAAAGTGTTGACATGTTCCAAGTGTTCAAGTGTGGACGCGTGCGGCGGCGTGCTGATACAACACTACGTCACGACACGCGTATGTGTGAGTGTCAGTGTATACCTAATCTGTAGGGTGTTCACACGATGCGTAATTAATTACATAACTTTTGGTTAACTTTACTTAGAAGTTTATTAATATTTATGTTATATTAATTTTTATTTTGTCATATATGATCGTCAAATATCACGTCCTCAAGTATCGATAGTAATTCACCAGTCACCCTGTATAAATAATAATAATAAATCCAAGTCAATATGGTATACTTCTATGATCGTAAATGATTTCGTCATCAAGGAAATACATTTTTTTTCTACTCATTATAATTAATGGAGGATTTTATTCCAATGATAATTTAATATTATTTATATAGTTTCAAATCAATAGGGTATAAGTTGATTGTTTCGATATAGTTGGCCTGATAACAATAGTGTCCCAGGGGCACTACGTCATCGGGCCTTTACTCGTCTCAGAATTCTCAGCGGCACCAGATATAAATATATTATCATCCTATCAGAGCCCACTGCTGAGCAAAGGCCTCTTCGTGCATGGAGAAGGTTAGGAGATTAATCAAAATGCTTGCTCGAGACGGGTTCGCGAATTCAAACTGATAATATTGAAATTATAAGTCCAGGTTTCCTCACGATCTAATATTCAAATCAAGATGTAAATTTACATTTATTTAATACTTTAATTTAATAATTTTTTCGTTTGTTCCGACTGCAGAGTCGATAATGATAACGTTAATTGAGAGTTGTAGGATGTACGGCCAGAAAAGGGGCCTAACCTATGGGGGACTTGCAGACCTTGATGTATTGGGGCCTTGTGTGACATGACAAATAAGATTAATAGATGACGCAGTAGAAAGCTAGTCATATTATAAATAAATTGATACAATTATAATGATTTTTATTAATAAAGTAAGTTAATTATAAATATGAAATATTGTGCCTTTAGTCATGTTTAGGTATGAAACATAATTTTTTAAGTTATCTTAGTTGTGAACTAGGAAATAATTCAAAAATCTGAAAATAAATATGAATGGCATTTTTTCATACTGAATAAGAACTATAACTATTATTATAGAATTAAAATATTTTTTCCATTGACTGTCTCATTCCTTATTGTAATAGGAAAATATATATATTAATTAATCTTTCTGCGTTTGGTCACGTATACGAGTAGGTTTTACTTATAACACGGAATTAGTATCACACGGACACTTTAAATAAATTTGTTTAAGCGAAAACATTTCTAGGGAAAAATATTATTTGTATTTGTCATACGAGAATATTATGATAGTATATATATACATATATATTTTTATCGTCTATTTATGTATGGTCTTATGTTTTCTATCGTCATACTACATACGAAAAGTACGACGTTTTTAATTAAATATTACGTTTATATCGTAACTGTTGAATTGCGGACTCAGACTAAGCATATTGATTCCTTTTTCTTGAGTAACATATTCGTGTAGGTTAAAATATGAAAGTTTTTTTAATAGATATACATAAAGAAAACATTTCATAGTAAACTTTTAAATATTTGTAATTGTTTTGAAGACATATGATTTTTCGTGGCTAAATTGATATGTTTTAAATCTAAGTGTATAGTCTAGACTTGTGTGTCGACTGTCGAGTGTCCTGTGTATTATATATATATGTATGTATATAATACATATATACATTACATCGAACAGACAGCTTGAGATATTTTCGTGAAACTTTCACGAACTTGCACACTACATTCAGATGGAAATTCCAATTTCACATGATTAATTTACTTTTTAATATTGCAAATTTATTTGTTACCAAAATGACCATTTTATGTACATATATGAATAATTGGTCCTATTCTTACGATCTTAATTACCGTTTGTTTGTTTCAATATATTTCTAAGCTCGTTACCTTGTTTGATGTGACAAACAAACAAACTAATAATTACTAATTAAAATTAAAGAAAATATGAATACATTTAGAATCAATTAGGCTTAGTAAATAAATAATTAATTAAATGTAAACAAATTAATAAATGTATTAAACGATCAACTGTTACTCTCATTACAGATTGATCGCGTATAGAATTTTATTATGGATGAGATATATTATAATTACGTTAAAAAGACTTAATTATGATTATGACCTTTCCTGTCAGCGTTTCGGAATGCTGTTACATCACGCCTTATCAGGAACCTTTCTGTTTAAAGATTGTGCTGTCACAGCCTGTACATAATGCAGCGCTACCATTATTAGGTTCGACACACACTGGACGGTTTTTTCAACGTTTTTTTTGCGATCGAAAAACGTTGTAATTTTTAAGTATTATGAAATCATAATAAAATTATTTAATTCAAAGATTCGTCCTTGCTTATTATTTATTTTTATTATAATTGAATTTGTATTGTAATAATAATGTAGTACGAAAAAATATCAAACGCAAAAAATTAAAATATAGTAATTGTTGTTTAATCGCTCCGTCTGTAAATGGCCTTACGCGATGCGTTTAAGAACCTTTATCTGTTGTGTTTATTATGAATGGGCCAGTGTCACTCAAGCGTCGTTTTAGGATTGATGTTTTTGCGAGCTTTTTTTTTATTTCTAATTTTTTTTTTCATAATTTTTTTTTAGATTTATTTTGTGACAGTTTTCTATAATAATATTGGATTTTTTTACCTGTTGTAATGCATCATATTATTGGGTATGTATTTTTTTATATATTTGTGGTTCCTTTATATTTTTCCTTTTAACATTTCCGACGCCATCCTAAGAGTATTTATATGCTTTGGGAATATATATTAAACATATTAGTTGGACGGGATTTTCATACAGGTGTATTATGATTCAAATTTATCTTCAATTTCCATTGATTTTAAATAATAACATTAAATTGACAACAAAAGCATTGGTTCCTCATAAATCATTTGTCTAACAAAATACCATGTTATTTCCATCGTATACGTAATTTTGACGTAATACGTAAATACGTAACGTTACAATTTACAGATGATCGAATAATATCACACAGATATGTAAATTACCAATTACTTGTTTTTTTTCCCCAATAGTTAATAACATAAACAATCGCGGAATCGTAACTCATAGAGACATCACTTCTGAGCGAGGATGCTGTGTTGTTAAATTTAATGTTAGTTTAATTTAAACTATGTACCGTTTTAAACGCTGTGAAAAAAACGATAGGTTTAAATTTAAAAGTGTTAAATTTAAACGCAATAAGGTGTGTTCGGTGATGGAATAATTTTATTATTTTGTGAAGTTTCTAATGTGATTTTTTTTCCTTAATTCTTTTCCTTTTGTTATCGTTTTTAAAATTTCCGTTTGCTTTCAAATAAACCGGAAAATTTGTTAAGTACCAAATATGTATTTAATTCATGATTAATATGTCTAAATATAAACATAAAGTATTATGTATTTCGTACGTTCCTCTACCAAAAAATATATTTTTTATGTACCCGTTATAATTCAATATTCGCGTAACAATCATAACAATAGCACTACTTGCCAATTGATCCTGCTTCATAGTCCTATCCTGGCGATTTCAATTTAGACTCGCAGATTGCTACCGATTACAGTATGGTAAACAGGAAGCGTGTAGCATCTAATAAATGTTATGTATGTATGTGTGTACCTTGATTGTGTATATATACAGTGAAATGCGACAGAAAAGCGATATAGTAACGTTAATATTTCATAGTACGGGGATTACGAGTGTATCAAGTGAAAAAATATATTTCTTTCAAATGATACGAATATTTTCGGATTTACTACACGATTTTTTTATTTTTGACTATAAACTACACGACTACTATCACTACACTGTGATCACGGGCAGATGAGATGCCATCTCGTAGTTAATCCGAAAATATTAGTTTCATTTAAATGAATACACGCGAAAATTTTAGATCTCATTATACATATTTCTTTCAAATTTCAATTACACCTATAGTTGCAGAATATACAGCTGTCCATGACATTCGTTCTATTAAATTTATTTTACTTTTTAGATAGAGGGTAGTTCATATATTTCCAGATGAAGCAGGTGTTAATAATATAAATGTGTTCCAGATGACATCCGGCCTCCACGGCCACGGCCACCAGATTTCGCAGCCAGCACATCACCTGGAATCGACTGTGTTACCAGCTAAAGAAAAGACCGTGCATGGAAAGGAAAAGACCTTCAAGGTAGCCATATACAGCTTGACTTGCAAAGAAATCTTTGAGGCTCTTCCCTACTAATATTATAAATGCGAAAGTAACTCTGTATGTCTGTCTGTCTGTTACGCTTTCAAAATTTCGGTACAGACATAGAGTTAACCTTGAGAAAGAACATAGGATAGTTTTTATCTGAGACTTTTGAAAGGTTCTCTTGGAAACGCGATGTAACCGAACTCCACGCGAGCGAAGCTGCGGACGAAAAGCTAGTAGACTATAAACTTATTTAGTTCTAGAAAGTATTAAACTTTTGTAATTATATTTCCATACAAAATTTTCCTATAGAATACCGTTAAATTTTAAGCCAATGCAAATTTTCTTATATACAATGTAAAATTCGTCTACTATGTTAGATTTTACTACAAGAACATTTTATTATCACATCCAAGTATCCTTATATTAAGACATAAAATTGTGTTTATAGACTATTGTATAGCATGAGAGTTGTGTGTAAAGTAGCAATTATATGGAGTTAAATCCTTCTTTAATGTGAAATAAACTGGCAAAAACAACTGTAGGAAAAGATTCATTCTTACTAATATTTTAACACAAACGCATTTAAATGCGAAAGTAACTCTGTTTGTCTGTCTGTTTTGCTTTCACGCCTAAACCACTGAACTGATTTTAATGAAATTAGGCACTGAGATAGAGTTGACCTTGAGAAAGAACATAGGATAGTTTTATCCCAGACTCTTGAAAGGTTCTCTTGGAAACGCGATATAACCGAACTCCACGCGGGCAAAGCTGCGGGCGGAAAGTTAGTAATATATTGTATACTAGTTTTTGCCCGCGACTTCGTCCGCGTTAGTTTGGTCAAGAGTAATATATGTAGGTATAGCTGACCAGGCGAACTCTATTCCGTCTTAGAGGCCATAAATAATCAGGTTTTGCCTGTTTCAATCAAACAGAATGATTGACATATTAGTTAGTTGTCAAAGGTAATGTCAAAAAAACTTTTGTATGGGAAATAGAAAAGAGCTGTTTTTACGGTTTTCCGGCAATTATTCAAATTTTTCTCACCTTTTAAACCTTCCCTGGACTTCCAGAAGTATTTCAAGACTAAAATTAGCCTAATCGGTTCAGCCGTTCTCGAGTTTTAGCGAGACTAAGGAACAGCAATCCATTTTTATATATATATAGAAGATAAGGAACTGTACTGAATTAATAATGACTATATGAGGGTATTCACAAATTTATTATATATTTTAATCTAGGTGGTAGTTGGCGGTGAGGTGGGTGTTATGAAGACACCCGTCCTAGGTCCACGGCCTTATAATGCACTCGCCATCATTCACACACAGCAGAGCAACACGTTTGATATGCTCAACTCTCTCACTACTAGTGTTGTAAGTATAAAAAGCATACATACATACATACAAGTAATCAGTAAGCTTTATGTATTAATATTGAAACTACCTCTCACATGTAAATAATGTTTTAATGCACATACAGTACGTCTTCCTGACAATTTCCCAGCCATAGCCAGGGTCTGCCTTACATGTTGTGAATAGTTTTGGCTAATTGTTTTTACGACCGGCCGCCTGCCTGACATCAACCCTTTCTGGGAAAATGTACAGACAATACTATACATATTATGACTTACAAGTAACATATATATCTCATTGATAAGTAATACAGATATGAATGAAGAATATACATTTGTAAGAATTGATTTATGTATTACATTGTATATATTATCATTAAAAGTAGCATGCTGGTTATGATGTAAATATATCTTGAATGATACATAATTTAGGATAATATGTCAGCTGATACTTAGTATATTTGACTGGTTGTTTTCTATATTCTGATCATTAACAATCTCAGGTATATAATAAAGAGTTTGAAGATGGTGATATTAAAATTAAGTGGTATATTGAAGAGATTCTTTTCTAGTCTGTAATTTGATACTTCCAGTACTCAGTGCTCGGACAGTACATATCAACTTATAAATGTTTTTCATTATTGTTTATAACTAGCCAACATATTAATAATTCTAAAGAACTAAAAATTAGATTAAAAAATTATATCTACACATTATTAGACTATAGATATGTTATTCCATACATATTATCTCATTTGTATGTAACTCGTTCCAGGCAAGTCAACCAGTAGTGGGTGTTGGTGGGTTCCGTCGCCGTAGCTCAGGTCAGGGTCTGTGTGATCCCGAGCTGGATGATAGCGGGAACAAGCTGGTGGCCAGGCTGGAAGACGACGCCTTCATCTCGGAACAGGATCTGGTGAGGCGGGGTTATAATGGTCGATGAAAAATCAGGGGTCCTCAAACTTAATTTATAACTTGCTTTGAGAATAAATTATTCTTTAGTGAGACAATTTATTTTCCTACTGAAAAGGCACTTTATCTGAATGCAATTATAAATCATTCACTCTGATATGAAAAGGTATGTACTCATAATAACATAATTGTGATTAGAGTTGAAAATTTACGTACTTGTTTAAGTTTCTCATTTCAAAAGTCCGCAGATCTAGACTAAATATATGTATAAGAAAGTGATGTAACATTGAAAATGTTATTTTTTTACCTATGAAAGTCGATGTATGAACTTATTCTATATGTTAATAAAATTATTACATTTACAGGAAGAAAATATAGAAATTGCTACCGCCACTGAAAAGACAGGTTTTCCTCACACGGCCAGCGACGCGACCGGCGAAGAACCGCCTCAGGAACAACAGAATGGTGTGTAATATATAATAAAACATATATAATGACGTCACATTAATATTAATATACTATTTTTATTAATACAAGTCATTATGACTAATAAACATGACCAAATTAATACAATAATTAATATATGTATTGTCAGGTTTAGTGTTTGGTCCTATATACGAGTTGGACAAACTGGAGGATAAAGATAAGGAAAAGGTGGACAAGGAAGACGAGGAGGAGCCGATAGGAGTGTCACCATGTGGCAGGTGAGGGGACACTATGGTTATACAGGGGGCTACGAAACTATATAGGTTTCTGATTTACTATGCCGCTAATCTAGGTCTAGGTCTAATACTAGGTCAGTGGTGGCCTAGTGGTTAAAGGGCCCGCCTCTCGTTGCCGAGGGCGCGGGTTCGATCCTGGCCCGAGCAAGTACCAATGTTATTTTTGCGAGTCATATGTACTTTTTGAGGTGGTAGAGCCTAGCTGTAGTCAATTTACTATAGCTCGAACATGGGCTGGCTCGACCGGGGAAGTACCACCCTCTCACAGAAAATCGGCGTAAAGTAGTCTTTAAAGGCTGCGTTTCGTCCGGTGAGTGAGAGAGCCGGTTGCCCTTTCCCTTTTCCCAACCTTTCCTTTCCCTCCCTTTCCCACCTTTTCCTCCTCCTTTTCCCCAATCAAGGGCGGCAACACATCCGCAAATCTACGTTGCGGATGTCCATGGGCGACGGTAACTACCTACCATCAGGTAGGCCGTCTGCTCAGTTGCCCCCTTTTCCCATAAAAAAAAAAAAAACTTTCTAAGAGAATTTGGACATCACTGATTAATGCTGATTCCCAAAAGAGGGTTGATGTCAGGCAGACGGCCGGTCGTAAAAACAGATAGCCAAAAACTATTCACAACATGTATGGCAGACCCTGGCTAAAGCTGGGAAATTGTCAGGTAGAAGATATTAAGCTGTTAATAAATCTTGCATGGTATACTAGAAAGTATGTGTCAGTTAGTCTTGTTTTGTCATTCACCACGAATATCCTAATTTTATCGCGTAGCCAAAACAGAACGCAAGTTTTAATTACATGTATACTGGCGAAAATCTTAGAACTCAATATATAAGGGGTGTTCAAAATATGTTGCTGCTGTACTAAAGAGTAATTAAAAAAGTGCTTACACGCCGTATGAAATGCTTATTCGTTGTCCAATTGAAATGGTTACATTATTTCTATCTAATAAGGTACAATATATTCACAATTAGAAAACTACTGGTGTTTTTTTATTGTATTATACATTTATTATTATTACTAAGAGTATATATTTATATAATGAGTGTGATAATAACAGATTCTTCAAATACGACAAGGAGGTCGGTCGAGGTTCCTTCAAGACGGTGTACCATGGGCTAGACACGCAGACAGGGGTTGCAGTAGCTTGGTGCGAGCTGCTGGTTAGTATACACATTTGTATAATTTAAGATTCATTTAACCAATATAATAAGACCTAAAAAAAAGTTTTTTTTTTACATGTAGTATGTATGGATTAATGTTGACCTAAGACAAATAATATTTTGTGATATATATTGTTTATAAAACAAATCTTAAAGTAAACATCACAAGTCAAGCTATTTTCACTTAAATAAAAGTTAAATGAATTTTCATTTTTACGAACTAACTTTAACTTTAATTTTTTCATTATAATCCTGTGTAAATAGTATTTTAGTTTAGTACTTATATGATTATTATATAATTTCCAGGAGAAAAAGCTGAATAAGACTGAACGTCTCCGGTTCCGTGAGGAGGCTGATATGTTGAAGAAGTTACAGCATCCGAACATCGTGCGGTTCTATAACTACTGGGAGGGAACCGTCGCTAAGAAGAAGAACATCGTGCTCATTACGGAGCTCATGGTCTCCGGGACGCTCAAGACGTTAGTATTGGACTTGTGAACATACTGTATCCTACTAATATTATAATTGCGAAAGTTTGTGAGTGTGTGTGTATGTTTGTTACTTCTTCACGCTCAAACGGCTGAACCGATTTTGTTAAAAATTTTTATACAAGAAACTGACGTCCAGGAATAACATATAGGCTACTTTACATCCTGGAAATCCGCGGGTTACACCGCGGGGCGCAGCTAGTATATGTATATAGGAGTGGCGATAATTTTTAAAACCAAAAAAAATATAATAATAGTAGGATGAAGCACATTAGAAAAGGAGTAGGTCGGGAAGAGTATGGGGGTGGGTCCTGAAAGATATGGAACAGTTTTTCTCGATTTCCGGCAAAAAGTCTTACGGAAAAAAAATATATAGCAAAGTTGTAGGTAATAAAAAGACCTAAATTTTTTACATATTTTTCGCATAATATCAAAATTTATGTGAATATATAATATATTTAACTTGATTTAAATGTATAATTTTCTGTTCCAGCTATCTGAGAAGGTTCAAGCGTATCAATCCCAAAGTGTTGAAGTCCTGGTGTCGCCAAATACTCAAGGGGTTGAATTTTCTTCACTCCCGTACACCGCCTATTATTCACAGGTGAGATAGGTGTATATTCACAAGAAAATTAACTCAAAGATTTTACATTTCTATTAATAAATACGCTGAGTATATATATTGATATTTACTAGGAATTGTCAATAAAAGGTCACTGTATTGTTAGTATATAGTGTAATGTATTATATAGAGACTATTATTTTGACTTATAATTTTGATTGTGGTATAGTTGTGTAAGTGTTTGTGTAGAGATCTGAAGTGCGACAACATCTTCATCACGGGCACTACGGGCAGCGTCAAGATAGGAGACCTCGGGCTGGCCACGCTCAAGAATAGGAGCTTCGCTAAATCTGTTATAGGTAGGGACCATAGACCACAGATTTTGACATTTTTTTTTGAACAGACAAAGATATAAAGTTTTCTTTGTGCAAATTTTGTGTACATCTGTAATTGTCACTCATATCAGGTCCTAGATTTTTTTTTTATATTTTATCTGTTGTCTTATCTTTATCTATTTGTTTATGTGTGCTGATAATGTGTGATGTTGATGTACCTTTAAAAAAATATTAAAACCCATACAGCCATGTCCTTTGTACTTAAGATACTGGCAATAAAATGTAGACTTACCAAAATATTTTTAAATTTGGAACATTATCAAATAATTTGCTATCCATTTGTGTATCACCAGGCACGCCAGAGTTCATGGCTCCGGAAATGTACGAAGAACATTACGACGAGTCCGTGGACGTGTACGCGTTCGGTATGTGTATGTTGGAGATGGCGACCGGCGAGTACCCGTACAGCGAGTGTAGCGGACCCGCGCAGATATACAAGAAGGTGGTGTCGGTGAGTTACGGGAAAAAATATATATTATATACTGAATATTTTATAGATAAGTAATCTGTAGGGAACCTCTACATAGATAGGGAATAGCGCATTGACCTTATATCCTTTTTTTGCTTGTGTCAAAGCATACAATTAGTTTGACGTCAGATTTTAAAATATGGGAAAAATTACATAGTTAGTCAAATTTCTTGAATCTTAAGAGCCCTAATTACTAAAATAGTGAAAATAAACTACGTAGTCATATGATCTGCCCTAAATTTGAATAGATTTCCTTTTAAATATAAAAAAGAAATGATAAACATTACTACAGTTACGTAATAATTGCAGGGTGTGAAGCCGCAGAGTTTAGAAAAAGTGACCATTCCAGAAGTAAGGGACATCATAGAGTCATGCATACGACCGGATAAAGGGGACAGGTGACGTGTTGTATGAAATACATTACTATATATATACAGTAGTTCCATAGTTACTTAATGTTTTTTTTTTCTCAGGCCGAAAGTCAAAGATCTGTTGAACCACGAGTTCTTCGGCGAGGACATCGGTCTGCGGCTGGAGATCGTCGACCGCGACCTTGTGACTACATCCGACATGCCCAAAATACAGTTCAGACTAAAGATCATTGACCCCAAGAAACGGTATGCACATATACAGGGTGACTGGTGAATTACTATCGATACTTGAGGACGTGATATTTGACGATCATATATGACAGAATAAAAATTAATATAAGATAAATATTAATAAACTTCTAAGTAAAGTTAACCAAAAGTTATGTAATTAATTACGCATCGTGTGAACACCCTACAGATTAGGTATACACACACACACACACACACGCGTGCGGCGGTGTCGTGTTGTATCAGCACGCCGCCGCTCGCGTCCACACTTGGAAACCTTGGAACGTGTCCACACTTTATTTATTTATACGGAAATTTGGTCAAAAATTAAGTACCTATTTTTTTACATAATTCGAATGAGAATCATGTACCGAATATTCTCCTTAAATATTGATAGTAATTCACCAGTCACCCTGTATATTTTTCTATGTTGACTGGATAGTGCTTGATTGTTATTCCACCCGTATATTATAACGTCTTATCATAAAAAATATAAAATAATCATTAGTATTAAAATTAATACGTGTGGAAGAAGTAAAACTTTTCGTTATGTTCGAGTGTAAACAGTATGGGATAGAAATTGATTTTTAAGGTATTTTAAGTGTTTTTTTGAGATAAACTTTAGTATCATTAATTATTATAAGTCACAATTGATTGCTCGCCTGCGCTCCAGTGCTACGCATTCCCTTTCGCTCTGTTTCTTATTATCCCTCCCAAGAACGTGAAACGTTTAACGCAACCTTGTTGGGAGTCGCATAAGAAGTTCCACTTCAAAATCGATTTTTTTCCCATATGATGTAATAATATTTACAAAAAATATATAATATACTAGTAAATTAAGTAATTTCAGGTCATTATTACGTATAAAGTAAGAGTAAGAATCTTCTGTTGTTGTTCTGTCTGTGTTGTAGTAGTTGTAGATCACATCTATTGTAGTTTTTATCAACTGAAAATATATCAGTATATGTCTGATATATTTGCTAGACTTAATTAATATTAAAAATATTGCAAGTACAATTTTCTTAATATATATGGATGATTGCTAAATTGTCGTACAAAAAACTATCTATTTTTCCGTTACTTTATATATATATTTGAAAGATACTATATACTATATATACTACGTACTACTTACATACGCATATGTATCTATGTAAAACTCTAAGATAATTTGCAATCAGCCTATAATATACTTGTTTGTAGTAGATTTTGCACTTGAGGATACATCAAATGTAAAAAATGAATTAGGTGTATGATTGATAACACTTGCACATCATTCGATTTTATTTTTTAAATTAACCGTAATATTTCGACAAGGTTAAAATATACCTAAGGATTACTCAGACTAAAAATGTCATACATTGTAATATAATAGTGTGGTGACAATCGGTTACAATAAAAGCTACTTGATCAAATTACAGATAATTCAATATTCTAAATCAGGGTTGTCCAAAAATCGATAGATTCACTAAATATAAAGGATATCGCATAATATTTCTAAACACAAAATAAAGGTATTTCATTACTTTTTCATTAATTTATCTCTTACAATTCGTCTCAATCCACATCAATCTTGGTAGTAACCAATCGCATGCCTAAGTGACATTCTGTTAATGAAGACCTATATACATCTATTAAATAAACTTCACACTTCGATAAGCATTTTCTTAAAAGTACCCTCCATTATCGTAGTCATTTCTAGACTAAAATGTTTGAGTCTTGGGAAATGTTCAACTAGTAGCTCAAAATACTCAATTCCAGACTATATTCTGCCCTTATAGAAGTATACTGATTGCAGACATTTCGCAAAGATAATAATTCCATAATACTGTAGACTGCATGTTCAATGGATGAGTGAAATAGCTATATCCCTGCTATTAGAATCCATTGCATCCCTTGCTTGTTGAAAATAGCATTTCTACTATATTTTTTTTATCACTTTAATACTATAATATTCCCATATTAATGCAAAATTTTATCCACAGTTCGTACACTCACAAGGAGAACGAGGCCATACAATTCGAGTTCGACATGATCCGTGATGACTGTGAGGAAGTAGCCAAGGAGATGGCCAAGGCCGGCCTCATCATGGAGGAAGACGCCAGGATAGTGTTCAAGCTGCTCAAGAGCCAGCTTATATCGCTTAACCGGTAAAACACTAGCTATAACACACGGTTCTGTCTATAATAAACAAGCAAGTTATTGATCTTAACTTATACTCGCAAATTTATTTATATAGTCAAATAGAAAAGTTAACATTTATGTCATGGTGGCTTAGTTAAACGTCCGCCTCTCATGCATTAGGGCGCGGGTTCGAAACCTGGCAAGTATCAATAAGATTTTTCCGAGCCATATGTACTTTGTATCTAATTAATATATATTATAATTTAAGATTAAATTTATTGAATCGACGCCATTGATGTCAGTTATTATTTTATCTTAAACGCGCCATTAAATATAAATGTAATTTTCCGAGTCATATGTTCTTTCTAAGAGTGTATGTATATATGTATATGAATAATTTAAATTTAAATTTGTTGAATCGACGCCATTGATGTCAGTTATTATTTAGATCTTAAACGCCATTATATATAAAAGTAATGTGTTATAAACTTATAACACATGTGACCATTAATCATTATTTATAATGAACTTTTATATAAACTGTCACTGGATTAGTTCGATGTTAAACAAGAATGTTTATTGAACACAGAAGTGTTTAATATTCGCTGGCAATTTAATCCTGGTTTATTATCATAGTAAAAATAATATTAAATTGAGGTCAGGACAAGACGTGGTCGTTATATATTTATATATATAAAATTTAAAACATGAAGAATCTAGCGTTTAATAATAATTGGTTGAAATAACTTAATCGTTTAACAAACGCGATAGAACATTCAAAGGTTGACGTGTATATATTTATTTAAAATCCTTACAATAATTTTGAACGTCGTCTCGGTTAAAATAATAATGTACCTTTAAAATTTGTTATTACAACGGAAACATTTGAATAAGACCTTGGTTAGAATGAAATACGGTATATATATAAAAAATACATATATTTCTATACATTATCCTCATTGAATTTGTAAATGCCATATATTATGATAAATAATATCTGAATTAAATCCTACATGTATTTTTAATCGAACACTTTTGTTAGGAAATTTTATATGTTAGTTATACATTGCTGTTTTTATTATATCCGGTACTTATTGCCTTACAATATTCTTTGCACAGCGTTCAATGTATAAGTGACAATTAAAACTGTTACAAAAGTGAAATCTTATAGTACATTGTATGTCGCGACCCTGAATTCGTATTTTCTAATCATGTCGGCGTCCGAGTTATCTAAGATGGCTTAATGCAATAAAGCACGCGAAATAATTAAACAAAAAAATATATAAAAATAAATTGTTTCTTAATAATATATAATTAGAGTTAAAATTACGATGTAAGTGATTATTTTAATTGTTTAAAACATTAATATAATTTGTACTACGTGTTGCATTATGCGATCACAATCGTCACTCTTACTTGGGATTCTTCGTTGCGCGTAATTAATTGTACTGACGCGGCATTGCAGTACATTATGTTAGACGACGAAGTGCACGGACCAGGTTGTTAATACATATATTATATACATAAATATGTATATATAAAATAAAAATAACTAGTTCTGAATAAACCGCCATGTGTTATGTACTTTGTGTGTCAATTGTGTTCATAGGATTATGATCTGTTCACAACTATCAGGATTTGAAAGTGATTGTTATATACTGAGTGTGTATTTACATATATATTTATTTATATATCTCTGTCAGTCGCGTCGCGTGTATTTCTAACGTTTGGTTTCGATGTCTTATCACTGGAAATTCGGTTCCGTTTAAATCATAATTTCATTTGATTATATACATTGCTTTTTTAAATACATTACATTTGTATGAATATATATATGTACATATAAACATCATTTATATCTACGAACATAATTGTTTCTTTGTCGTAAATAATTTTTCATTAAAAGAATATAATATTTATTTGTTTTGTAACTAAGGTGACTGTTATTAGTAGTGCTGTAAAGGTAAAGTCGGTTTCGCGAGCTAGTTTAAATAAGTCCGGTGCTATGGCAACGTCAGCTGTCTGTATGCAAAATATTCTTTGAAAGACGTCGCGTGCCAGCGGTCGTTGTATGAAATAAAATTCGTATCGATAATTTTGCTTTGTTATTTTAGGTTATGAGATTGTATCACGGGTACGTCTGAGGACGTTAGTTTATGGAATTTGTCAAACCTAGCAGAAATAGCTATGCGTTAACAAAGAATATTGGTGGTAGTGTATTACAAGTCGTGTTAGAATAGGACATTATATTATGGAAGGCGGGATCGTTTTGATATCGAGCGCTAGAATTATATTGAACAGAGAGTTTAATGTATCAACAGTGAGAGGAGTGAAAAGAAATCGCAAATGCTGTTCAACCAGGAGCTGATCAACGAGCAGAACAGACAGCAGCAGTTGCTGTTGGAGCAGCAGCTGAGACAGGTGATTCATTACAGAGATCTATACTATATAAAAAACTAGCTTTCCGCCCGTAGCTTCGCCCGCGTGGAGTTCGGTTATATCGCGTTTCCAAGAGAACCTCTTAAAAGTCTGGGATAAAAACATTCCTATGTTCTTTCTCAAGGTCAGCTCCATCTTTGTACTATATTTCATTAAAATCAGTTCAGTGGTTTAGGCGTGAAAGCGTAACAGACAGACAGACAGAGGTACTTTCGCATTTATAATATTAGGAGGGCTTAATACTTGTTCAATTATTAACAATGAACATTCAATTTTAGAAGCAGAATTAGTTATTAAATTTGGTAATTTAAATGAATAATATTAGTTTTTTTTGTATTCTAGGTAAAAATGATCCAGAACCAACAGCAGGCGGGCCCAGTGGATCAAGTGAAAGCGGGTCTGTTGAATGGAGTAGCATCACAACCAACACTCGCCGCCGTGCAGTAAGATATCATATACAGGGTGACTGGTGAATTACTATCAATATTTAAGGAGAATACTCGGTACATGATTCTCATTCGAATTATGTAAAAAAAATAGGCACTTAATTTTTGACAAAATTTCCGTATAAATAAATAAAGTGTGTACACGTTCCAAGTGTTCAAGTGTGGACGCGTGCGGCGGCGTGCTGATACAACACCACGTCGCGACACGCGTATGTGTGAGTGTGAGTGTATACCTAATCTGTAGGGTGTTCACACGATGCGTAATTAATTACATAACTTTTGGTTAACTTTACTTAGAAGTTTATTAATATTTATGTTATATTAATTTTTATTTTGTCATATATTATCGTCAAATATCACGTCCTCAAATATCGATAGTAATTCACCAGTCACCCTGTATAATTTGTATTGCTTTTCTATGTATTATTATTATAACTTAGATTTTATTTTTATTATCCAGGCTCGATCAACAATCTCAATTGTTGCAAGCGCAACAGCAGATACTGCAGCACCAATTCCAACAGCACCTCACTAACGAAGAAAAGATGATGGTTTTACAGCACAATCTAATGCAGGCTCGTATCTCCCCATCTCTCACCGCTGACCAACAGCTCTTGCAACAGAAACAGTTCCTAGAACAAAACCTCAAACAACAGGTGATGATTGAACAGAATCTTCTTCAACAATCACTCGCTAAACAACAGATGCTCGAACAGACGGTGTCCAATCAGGCGTTGATAGACCAACAGACACACCAAGGTCTACTCGAACCACAACAGACGCAATTACAGAACTCCCTTTTAACACCTCAGTTAGTAGCTAATGAGATAACCAATCAAAGTCAGGTATTGCAGCAAAAAATAATTCAGCAACAACAGAATATAATCGCACATCAAGCAGCAGCGATCCAGCAGAAACAGCTCGAGGAGCAGTTGACCAGTCAGGAGAGTATTAATACGGGTCCGCAACAGAATCTCGTCACGGGTCAGATGTTAGATCCTTCTTTGCAAAATTTGCAGAACATATTGGCTCAAATTATTCACCGTCCAGAATCATTACAACCCAGAAAAGATTCGGAATCTGAACAAATTCAACAACATCATCATCAGCAACCGCAGCAATTACAACAACAGGTTGTAGGACAACAGACGGAGAATGTTGACGTGCAGCAACAACATCAAATGGAACAAGAAGCTGTACAGCAACAGAACCTGTTGAAAGCTCAAATGCAACAACAAACTAGTCAAAATGTTAATTTTCAACAAAATCAGCAATTCATACCGACTAATCTATTAACTGCAGCCGTTGATCCCGCTATATTGGCGCAACAGCAACAAGTCGCTCAAGCGCAACACCAAATGGCACAAGCACAACAGCAGCTTAACGTCCAGAGGCAGATGCTGACTCAGCAACAACTCGTGCTGCAGCAACAGCTCATTACTCAGCAGCAGCTGCAGATGCCCGGACAGACGTTGTCTCCACAGCACATAAGAAATATGCAGCAGCAACAGTTTCTAGCGCAGCAAGAGTTACAACTTCAAACACAGCAGAATTTCATAGATCAGCAGAATCTCGCGTTGCTGGCACAGAAGCAGCAGTTGATGGGCCAGCAACAGCAAAAAGTCGAAGAGATGCTTCGAGCTCAGCGACCTATATACACGCGGCAAGGGTCCGAACAGAGCCAGCTCAGCAGTACGGATCTACACGAGCCGCCGACGCTGCCTGAACAGTTTCAACAAAAGCCCGCCTTACATCCGCAAATGTCGGTTGACCACATGCAGTATCAGAATCAAATCCAAAGCGGTCAAGTCCAGAAGCAGCCCTCGGAAGATCAGTACCATCACGTGCCCATGCAGGGACAGTCGCTTCCTCACAACATGCTCAACCAATTCAACGTGGTGCAACAGAACGAGAGGCAGATATCTAGTCACGAAGGCACCCCGGTGCAGAATTACGCTGCTAATCCTCTGCAAATGTACCAACAGAGCTATCAAAGTCATCCAGCGCAAATACAGACCGTGTATAACCAGGTCGATACTATAGCTTCAACTACGGTCCCAGCTTCGATTCCCGCGTCCATCCCTACTTCAGTTCCCGTCCAACCACCTGTTTCAACGGTCGCTCAGATGCCTCCCGTGACCTATCAACAAACAGAATTACCGCCAGTCATACCTACATCTGTGCCTACACAAGTTTCCCAAGAGATGAGTCAGAACACGCAGCCACCAGAAGTAGTTCCACAGAAGCTTAACATCCAACCCGAGGAAACTCTTACTAACGGACAGAAAGAACAATTCCATACACCGCTAACAGAATTTCCTACCACTCATCCTGAAGCGATACGACAGCCCGAACTCAGCTCCGTAGAAGAAAAACAAGCGGAGACACAGCCGCAAGAAGGTGAGGAAATACTACACGTACATAGAGTCATGTTAAATAAAACAATTCAAATTATTGAAAAGATTACACACTAATAGCAATTACGAAAATAATTTGACGTTTATGACATTGCTATGACAATAAAATAGGTGATGTATACTGATTATGTATTCTAACTTATAGGTACAGCGGTGCCTTCACCAATAACGAGCGATAAGAAGTCCAGGGGTTCCAAGAAGCGTTCAAGAGAGAAGGAGAAGTTTCCGCGATTGACGGTGTTGACGGTCAGCGAGGGCGGTACTGTGGTAGAGTGTCAGTTGGAATCCAAGGCCAAGACCGTCACCTTCAAGTTCCATGTACCGGACGTCAACCCTGAGGAACTCGCCAATAACTTTGTGAGTCATTATTAAGCATTAAAAATATGTTTACAAGGTAATTGTTAATTATTGTGCGGACAGGGACGTGATACAAATACAAGTGCACACTGATTGCTTTATTAATAAAGAGACGGCACGCGGAAGCAGCCCGCTAACATAGACGAAAGCATACGTAACAGTAGTATTCTGTGATAAATTCGTTAAAATTTCATTATGATTCATGGCATTAAATATGGTATGTTTAAGTTATATATCAATGAATATATATTTTTAACCATATGTATATAGGTTGCCAACAACCTGTTGCCCGAATGGCAGAGCACAGCATTCACAGAGATGATCGGCGACATCGTGAAACAACTGAGAGATGCGCCTCAAAAACCGCCCGCGCCGCCCGACAGACTGAAACTACAAATAGACAAGGTGTGTATATAACATAGAGTGGGGATAGTTAGACGATGATTAATAAGATTATCAATATTAGTACTTGAGACAAAACATTGCCTCTTTTAAGTACTTTAAGGTTATCCTATTATGCCTGGCATTGAATATAAAAATCATATTTTCTAACCAATAAGTTAAATTAGAAGAGCATTTGTTAATATCGGGGAACTGATCTGTTGTCAAGTAGCGACGGTACAGTGACACGTGTGATGAATAAAGACACCACAGAATCACTTTGTTTTTAGAACTATATAGTGGAAATCGTAAATAATATATTTTTGAATAATTGAAATAATAAATTGTTAAAATTATGACTTAATGATCAATCTAAACGATACTTAAACGTTTTTTTTGTAGAGGGTTCATATTGTGTTTGATCATATGTTCATTTATTGGCGTAGTGTGTTATTAATTATTATCAATGAATATAGTTTAAAAGATTACTGCCGGTAATAGAAAATATTATTATTACTATTAGACGAAGAAATTTGACCATATTAGGTTTCCTAATAAATTTCAACTAAATCGGACCCTAGGTTAGGAGTATAAGATACTTTTACTTTTAGTACGTTTATCTTCTACATATTTTGTCGAATATAACATAAAAGAATACAAGGAGCGTATTGTTTCTGCTATTATATGAAAATTTATTTGAATGTATTATATCGTCATGTTAATATCTCTTAATCTAATCAACCTCAGACGGACTACGACTCTGAAACGACAGAGAGAGACGACAACCTGACGGACTCCAACCAGGACAACTCAGAGTGCACCACGCCCACCGCCTCGCAGGACAGCATCGCGTTAGGGGAACTGGAGGAGCCCGAGCCGGAACCGGAACCCGAGCAGGAACCGGTCGACAAGCGGGCGGAACTACTGGCCAGGAAGATAAGCACCGCCTCTAGTATAGGTTGGACATATTGGACATTACACTACCATCATTACACACTACTATACATATCAACACCGTTCAAAGAAAAGAGAAATTAAATTATAATTCTTAAGTACAATAGAAACTCGATTATCCGGCTCTCAGTTATACGGATTCGCGATTATCCGGACTACGGACAAGTCCCGACTAGAAAAAATGTCAAAGCGTAAAAGAGTGGTGTTGTTAAAAGTGGCGTACGCCAAATGACTATACCAAATTTTTTAAAGCATTTTAAACTTATTATTTTAATTCATGGTTACCAATTGCAAATTACCAAATACATATTGTAATTTATTTCATTATTAAATCTCAGTTTTTAGGACATATCTATATCTGTATATATATGTAATCTAAGAAAATGCATCACTTAATTACTTATTAATAAACATTGATTTCCGTTGATATGTATTTGTTGCTTTTTTTAAATAAACATATAATATGTACTACATAGGCACAAAATCGGATTTTCTTACTACATTCGACTATCCGAATGCCTATCGACAACAATTAGTCCGGTTAATCGAGTTTCTACTGTATTGTAAGTTGTACGTGTTATGTTTTTCAGGATCCAATCAGTCGGACACTGGGTCCGCCGCCGACCGGTCGGGCAGCACCGAGTCTAACGGCGACAAGAAGTCCACGAAACCAACTCGAAAGATATCGAGATTTCTAGTCAGTCCTGTAGTGGACCGAGGAGAAGACGTGCCTGAGGAGAAGATGGAGACCAAACAAGAACCGAGCGACAAACAAGTAGAGGCTAAGACCGAGCGACACAAGGAACCGATCAAGGAGGTACAGGTCAACGGCTTCCCGGAACCGGAACCAGTTCCCCAGCCGGCTGTGGCAGCGACACACGCTGACACTACCACCACCACCGAGGCCACGCCACCAACTAAACCTCTACCACAAAGCGTGCCACAAGAAAAGCTCGTCCCCACACACCAGTACTCGCTGCCAACACAGCTGACACACACGCCACACACGATGATCGACCACCGACCGGCCGACATGCAGCAGAAACCCGCGGAGCAGATACAACCTGCCGTCACCTGCCTCGGGAACATACCGACCAATATGACGCAGATACCCTACCAGGCGGCCGGGAACACGTTACTCAATGGTACATTACAACACAACCTCACGACGCCGCTACAGATCGCGACGGATACTCCCTTACTGGGGCTGAGTCAGGTAGGCACGCCCATGGGGGTTGGCGCGGACCTGGGCCTGAATATAGCGCTGGGGGCTGTGGGAACGGGGTTCGCTGACCCCATGGGCCTCGGCCGGCTGACACTGGCGCAACCCATGCTGACCCCCACTTCAGGGGTCACAGACAGCCTGGGGAACGCTGAGAATATACAGAGAATGTTGCTGAAACAAAACATCATAAAGTGAGTTAAATTCAAAAATTCAAATATATGCTACTTTTTAACTTAGTTTTTTGTTACTTTTGGCTGTTAAAATTTCTACACAAAAGAATTTGATTAATTGCCACGAAAATATAATCGTATACCCTTGTTAAATGACGGTATCAAGTTTCAGTCATTTGTAATTAATTCATAGTGGAATTTAGTACAAAGCTATTGTAAGAATATATCAAAATTTCTAAAATAAGCATCATTATATGACGACAATTACATATAAAACATAAATTCCCATAATTATATTTTTATAATCAATTTTGTACTCTAATATCAATTAACTGAAGCTTTACATTGTGGAAGGGTTCAAATCCTGTTGGATGTATTTAACTCATATATTGTCTATCTGTATGTTAATACGTCTGTGTATGTTTCCAGTCAGCAGCAGAGCCTGTCGGGTCCCAACCTGCTAGGCCTCCTCAACGCGCCCGCCTACCCTCAGCCGGAGCCGCTCCTCTCCCTGCCGCCTGGTGTGTACATACATCGTCTCATCGCATGTCCACTCCCCTACTAATGCGATGTGTTCGAACATATTTCTCTGTTATATAACGCTCCTAGTTTCCTAACCGTTGAGTCGTGTATTGTATATATGTTTATATAACGTGTCACTAACGTAGGCGCGCGGGCCGCCTACCCCCCGCCGTGCTACTACACGCCCATGCTCGCCACCGCTAACGACTTCATAGGTACGCACTCACTTATTAATATTATTTCGCTTCTACCTTTAAGCTGTGTTAATTAATTTAGGCTATAGTAGTGTCCGTTCCGCTGTGCTAAATGGCGCTAATATATGTATGGAATAAATTATAGCTAATTATGATAATTGTGTTAATGTACGCTCGCTACGTATGTATCGCAGCCCAGCAACAGGTGTTGCAGTCGGTGAATCAACTCAACCCCATGGGCCAGGCGGTCCCGGGCTTCGGTCTTGGGTTAGGCTTGACGCCGCTACAACCCGCCCTGCATCAGAACATACCTCTCAACCAAAACCTAATGGGCCAAAATCTAGGACAGAACTTAGGTTCGAGTTATATTATTCATACCTCATCGTGTAAGCTAATAACTAATAAGATACTCAAACGCTCATTACTATTAGGTTTAGCGAGTCAGAATTTAGGCTTGGCTAGTCAGAACTTGATGAGCGGGCAGGGGATGATGGCGCAGAACATGGGGCTGATGGGACAGAACCTGGGACAGCTGGTGGCGCAGAGGGCCGTGCATCACGCGCTGGCGAGGAGGGCCGTCGACATGGAAGTCGGTGAGACGACACAGATAATAAATAATATTATAATTAAATAATAATATATAAAAAAAATTATGTTAAAAATCGATAAAATTAGAAAATTACTAAGTTTTATTCATTGTCTGTTAATCTGCCTCTACTGTAGGTTGTGCTTATTTTATCGCACTTTATTTGGTAAGTGTGAAATAACAAGACTATAATAGCAAGAGTTCGTTTAATTAAGTATCTATTACAGTACTGGATAATAAAATCAAATGACATAGTATATACTAGGCACAAGGTACTCTGAATTATCTAATGACAGCTACATGAATTTGTACTATCCCCTACGGTATATAGATTTATTTCTAACTTAATGAAGTGACGGAATGCTTTAATTTATACTCAGCAATCGAGTCCAATCTTACAGACAAACTTAAACGAGATTGGTTCTAAATATTTAAATGCTTAAGATTAATTTCAACCTGTAATATTCTAAATCAAGAAAATCTCTGTTGTATTAGACAATATATTCGTGTGATGATCATAGTGTTAATATGTCCAGGTATGACGAACGTGAACTCGACCGGCTCCACTCAGCCGAGCACGCCCAACAAGAGTCAGTCCTACACTGATTATATGATGACGTTTCAGAACAAACTAGCCTCTATATCTAACAGCGTAAGGTTTATTTTAACTTGCATCTGTTGCATGTTATAAGGACTGATGTTTATTCGTGTTGTAATCTCCAGGGTCCCGTGTCTCCGCAGTCTCCGTTGGAATACAGTCCCGCGCTGTCTCCTACACAACGAAGACTCGCCGGGCTTAAGGTATGACCACAAGAGACATAATACTATAGATATGGAAAGGAGTGGGGATGTATGTTGCTTTTGCATGCAAAAACTACTAAATGGATTTTGATGTAACTACAGTAAATAAAGGAAAGGAAAACATCGTGAGGAAACCTGGACTTATAGTTTCACAATTATAAGTTTGAAATCACAACCCGTCTTGAGCAAGCGTGGTGATTAATGCTCAAACCTTCTCCATGTGAGAAGAGGCTATGCTCAGCAGTGGGCGTTCATAGGCTGATGACAGTAAATAAAAGAACAACATGTCGCCTACAATTTATTGTAAATTAAACATTGAAATTGATGAAAGTTTGTTCTTTACATAGTTCAGTATAATATTGAAACATTGGCTTTGACATTGGCAAAATCTATAAGGAAACGCAACTAATAATTATAAGATAGAGATGTTATTATATATATGACTAATCCAGTATGTAATAATGTGATATATGTTCTAGCAGGAGGTTGTAGACTGTACCGTAGGCGCCGAGGGGCCCGCGGCGGGGGTCGCGGGCGCCCCCGGGGGCTCCGTGGACACAGACGGGGCCTCACACGCAGACCGACTGGCGCACCTCGACCATGAGCTCAGCAAGATAAGCTTACACTACAAGCACTCGGCCCCCAAGGTATATATACTACATTATACATAACAACATGTCTATAGTCATTTAAGGAAATAACATTTTTTTTCACACATATTTGTCCATGAAGATTTTATTAATTAATTTATAACTAATATAATAATAGCATTTAAACTAAAACAAATAAACATAACACGAGAAATAAACACAAACTTGAATTACCCAAGACCAGGACCACATACGGAATTAAAACTATACAGTTTGAGGGAGCGAAACTATATAATAGCTTACCTAATGAAATTTTTAATGAAAGAACCTTTACGATTTTTAGAAAGAAATTATTAACTTATTGTAAAAAGCACTTACATTAACTACTCTTGAATTGAATAAGTCGTTACTATTATACTAATTTTTTAATTAAATTATGTAATATATCTCACTTAAGTGAACACTATGTTCTTTATGAGAAATAAAGTTCTTTAACCACAATTTGAAATACGCTCAGTCAATCATTTGAATTGTAGAGGATAACGGATTAATAATTGTTTATACAGGATGCGTTCAGCGACCAAGGAACGGATGAGATGTTGGCGGCGGAGATTACCGAGCAGGGGGCGACTTATGATGGTGACGTATGGAATATATATAAGGAGAGGAACTGGAGACATCTGGTGTTGGATATAGATAACTACCAGACGGGGTCTAGATAGACTGTACTGACTGACGAGTAGAATGATAGTGTATTGTGATTTCATGTCACTTGCTAAATAGTAATATAGCCTCAGTAGGCCAGCGCAGAAGCCTTTTAAATTAATGAAAAGTGAAAATAAATTATAGTAGAATGAAACTCGTTAGAAAAGTAGGGGAATATTATAAAAATAAAAGGAAAAATAATTTAAATTATATTTAATTAAATTTTTATAATATTCCCCTACTTTTTTTAAGAGTTTCATTCTACTTTAATTTAATTATGTTTTAAAAGCTATCGGCACTGGTCTACATAGGTTTGTTAGTACACAGGAATTACATAGTACTCGAAATAATAACATCAGTATGTTCTTAACTCTAAAGGGCAGTTAATATAATTTCAAACACTCGGACTTCTCCGGTCGCTTTTATGGAGTTAAAACGTTTTGCTGTAGCGGGTTCTTCAGTTTTATATAATGTTTGTTAAATTTTTACAGACAAGCGCGGCGCCCGGTTCCACGTGTCTCGTGCGGCCCCGCTCAGGAATTACGCTCTGTGTCGTCTACTACCGGACAACGGTGAGTGATAGGAGAGGAGTGGGGGGGGGGGTAATAACTATTAGCTAACACTGTGTCCATATTGTAGGTAAGGATAAGCTCGATCTATCGCAAGGCCAGTTCTCGAGTGACAACGCACTGGACGAGCTGTCGTGTGATAACACCTCCCTGTGCGAGGAGACCGCGGACGGAATAGACGGAGGAGCGGGGAGGGAGGGGGAGGGAGAGGGAGACGAGCTGGGCGGGGACTGTGACACGTACGTGCTGACGGACAGGGCGCGCGCGAGGTGCTACATACTGGAGGACGCGCTGGCGGACAGGAGACACGTCATACTGGACCCCGCGCCCCGGGTGAGGACGGCCGGCGATATATACAGGGTGTGTACGTGGACAGGCGTTTATTATACTATATACTATACAAATGTTACAGAGCGAGGTGCTGAGTCCCGGCGAGACGTGCGAGGAGCGCGACCGGAGCTACTTGATAGTGGACCCGGCCAGGGACGTGACCTGCACCGTGCTGGCCACGACCCTGAGGCTGGACGGAGACCCCGCCTTCACCAGCTTCAGGGAGGAGAGGCACCGCCCGCCCACAGGCACCAGCGGCGCGCCCGTCAGCGAGGAGCTGGCCGGCTGGAGGGCGGCGGCCGAGGACGCGCTGGCCCCGCCCACCGCCCCTCCCACACAACCGACACGCCTCACCGCACGGGCCAACGACCTCACGGCTGACTTGTGGGTCGAGGAGACGCTCACAGACAAAGGTAGGGACTACGACACCTGGAGAATAATATTTATGATTAAATATTAAAGTATATGATGATACACAAGCTAGTTGAATGAATCATGTCCCAACTGCAGTCTTTTTGTTGCCCTGATTTTTACTTTTGTTGGTGGATTTTATTCTGGATAAAGATCTGTATAATTTAGTGAACAATCATCATTATTCGACTTCTGGCGCCTGTCACTCATCATATTGTTTTTATTTAATATTACACTATCTACAATTATCTAATGATGGATCTGAATATAAATAATTTATAAAAAAAAAATCCACATGATATATTATCCTATCTCGCGTGTCTTCTGCGGCCGGCTTTGTGATATCGGTCGGCCGAGAGATAGTCGAGATTAACGGATTAAGTAGTAATATTTATCAATAATATAAATGCATTTATATTATTAAGATAAAATTTCGGAATACAAATGAAAAATAAAGTTCCATATAAAAAGTATTTTTCATATTAACTTTTTACGATGCTTCCATATATTTACTGAGTATGTTATGTTGTTATTCATTCATATATTATTTGGTATAAGTATTAACCAGCACATCTTGACCCCCAGCGTCCTGGCGTCAAGTGGTGGTGGTGTCTCTGTCCCCGGCGGGGTCGTGACGCGCCCCCGCTCTCAGTCACCTTGTACCTTATATTTATTGTACGTGTAACATACTATATCTATATCATTACTCGTAAATTAAATATTCATATGTGATATCTGAACCATTGTTTTATTTATAATCCCTCCTAGTGTGACCGTGTCATGTACATACAGAGACTTATTAGGGAGTAGATGAGAAAGAAGGAAAGAAAGAAATTAAGAAAAGACTTACCGTTAACAGAGAAGAGATAGTGAGTAGTATGTTAATATATAAGAAGACGTCGGCTATGGTGTGACGGTAGCCGGAGTTTATCTAGAGTTAGGAAATATCCAGAATATTATGTTTATTTTTTAAGTTATATTAAAAATATATAAAAAATAGAAGTGAAAAGATTAAGAGAAGTAATCGAATGAAATCATTAGCAATCTAAAACTCTAATAATATCTATACATTTATCTTTTATAATTATTGAGTGATATTCATTCATATTTGGTTATGTATATGTAAAGTTTAAATGTTTAAAAACGAGCAAGAAGAATAGAAATAAGAATGAAAGGAATGAGATATGCAAGAGATTTGAAAATAATTAGTAAAAAGGAAAATACTATGCAATTATAATTAAAATAGAATATGTACCATTTCGTTTGTTTAAGGTTGAAAGTTCAAAACTTTTCAGATTATGACTATTTCAGTGTATATTTTTAGTTTTTTTTTTTAATATATCAAGCATAAGACCAGCATTCCTTTTATTAAATATCACCGTACTATAACAAGTAGTATTTCCTCACCGTGCTATTGATCCAGGTAGCGTATGTAGCGACTCTGGTGTACACTCCAGGGTAGTAGGGTTGCGCGCAGCTAAACCCCCACGAGCTCAGCCCCACAACCACCCCTCTATGTATCAGTGGGCCGCCGCTATCACCTTGACATGCGTCTTTACCTGACAATCATACATATATAATACTAGCCTTCGCCCGCAGCTTCGCTCGCGTGGAGTTCGGTTATATCGCGTTTCCAAGAGAACCTTTCAATAGTCTGGGGTAAAAACTATCCTATGTTCTTTCTCAAGGTCAACTCTATCTCTGTACCAAATTTCATTAAAATCAGTTCAGTGGTTTAGGCGTGAAAGCTCAACAGACAGACAGAGTTACTTTCTCATTTATAATATTAGTAGGGATATATATTAGGGTAGTCTCGGGAACAGAGCTCAGGCCTCTAGTCCCATAAAAGGCTTTCAAATCTGAGCGTTCAGTACCGATGACAATTGACCGGTTTACATATTGAAGCAAAGATAGTTTTTGCTAACAAATTGTTACAATGAGTGTCAAGAATTGTATAGCAGAGATTCTACAACTGTTGCTCCAAAAGTCGACCGATGTAGAATGAATTCAGTACGACTACGCTTGGACTTTCATATGGTAAATTCTGTATTACAATTGTTTGTACTTGAACAAAGCTAATCACCTGATTTACTTAAATATATTATGTCGATGAAGTTGGTAATTTGAAAACAATTATATTGAATGATAAGGAATATTTTACAACAAATACCAAAGTCAAATGTAGGTATATAATTACAATTTGAAATAATCATATTCCATTTACTTATGTACTTGTTAGCTATTTTTTATTATTATTTTAATAATTTACCGTATGTTATACAAATGAAGTAAATAATAAAGAATTTTTTATGTCATTGAATAGATTGAAAATTAATTCTTGTTATCGATATACTGATAACGAATACGCTTGTAGAGTTATTAGAGATATATTTTGAAGGACTTGCGTTTTGTAATGTCATTAACAATTAATCAATGATAACTCTTCCAAGTAGAAAACAACAAAGTTAATTAATTTAACAGTAGCAATCAATCTACATATTACGTCTATTTTGTACGTGTGTTTATGATATCTTGTTTTTTTGGTGGATGACTTGTTTATTTTGCTTTGATTTTCTGTTTACCTCCAACGTCAAGTATTCCGGCACATATCATGCCGTCAGTGACGGGGAAGGGGCTGTTGATAGCTTGTTGGAGCTCGTCGTAACGCTGATAACACTCCTGATAAGACACTTTGAACACCTCCACGGCCTGGAGTACCTGGGACTCGGGTCCGTCCAGCTGTAGATTGAATTGATAAAACTTTATATGTTGGCATATATAGTAATAGAAGGTAGTTTAGAAAACAGCACTCCGTTAGTTAATAGTTTCGCGATAATCGCGATAATCTTTCTTTCGTCCAATTAAAATCCTTTTTTTCCCACATTCAGCTTGTTGCTTGGTCATGCAAAAGAGGATTTCTCTGCTTATATGTAATATAAGTATGTAATAAAATATATCAATAAGTACCGAAGTTCTTCCCCAGCCCACTGCTACTACCGATCCGTTGTCTGGAACCACCGCATTTCGCGACGCTATTGTAGCTCTCCTCACACTGCTCGTGAAATTCACAGCTTTGGTCAGTGTTACTATCGCGACATCGTTACTGCGAAGCGGAGTGTTGTATGAGCCATGAACTGTGATAGCTGACACACTGTATACATCACCACCTAGAAATAACAATATTACTCACAAGTAAAACTACACTATAGAGAAATTTGTGCAATAATATAATCATTATTGTAGGGCTTACCTCTGCCTAGATAAGTTGAACCAGCTCTCACTGTGAAGTACCTCGGACTCACAATCTGACCGTTCCTAGAAGTTAACCGAACAGAAAATATGATTACATTAAAGTTTATATAAATATAAGTATGATCTCATATACTTCTTAAGTATATTACATATTATGCATTAAATACTATATAATATACAGTTTTTATATGTTTATTAATATTAATAAAGATAAAGTCATACGATGCCACAAAGCAGTGTGCCGTTGTGAGGACATGACGAGATGTGATAAGGGCTCCTCCACACGTCAACTGAGAGTCATATAGGATCTAAAATACATTGAAAATGAGCTACTTGTAAACAATAAATATATTTACAATTAATATATATTAAGATCAAATCAATTGTTTAAATAAAACTAAGATTACCTCGTCTGCCCGCGATCACAGATCCTGCAAAATGGTACCCGAAACATCGGGAGTATGTAGTTTTAAAATAATATTCGAAAATCTTAGTTTCATTCAAATGATTACACGCGAAATTCTTTGATCATTATATTAATATATTTTTATTATTTATCATACTCTACCTGTACTGTATAAGGATACTTTTCTATAGATGTATCATTTCCTCCAATTATTCTTGTATTTGGGACATCAGGTGTCGTGAAATCGGCTACTTGTAAAACGTCCTGCGCACGCGCAACTGGAAAAAATAAATTATGAGCGTTTTATGTTTATTTTAACTACTTGATTTGGCTAATCTAGGATATAATATCCCTTAAAGCAAAACTCGCATTCTACTTATGTTGACGAATTTTCATACCTTATGATTATTATTTAGAATGTTAATTAATATTACAAAGGAATCTTAAAATTGTATTAACTACGTAGAAAATCGATGTCTTACAATAATTTCTGTTTTATAAGTACAATAAGATACGCTATCTGAATGATAGATACACCAAACCTAACTACCGACTACTTACACTAAAATGTTCAACTTACACTGTATACTAAGCTACTCATCGCACCTCCGCTCAAATAGTGTCACAACTCAAAAAAAGTTGAATTCATTTTTATTGCACTATTGGAATCAAAAAACTTCGAAATCTTATCTCAAATAATGTCATGCCCATAGTTCAACTATTTATCCATATATGTCAATATTTCGTAAATTATTCGTTTTTTTCATCCGTTATTCGTTATTTTTTTTTTAATATATTCCAAAAATCTATTACACCATTTTGTTGGGTGTCAAAAATCATTATAACTTACTTACAATCATATTTCAGTAACTTTCACAGTTTTTGAGTGATGAGCCGAAAAGTAAAGTTAGCATTAACTTCAAACGCGTTTTATTCGAAAGTTGGGATTTTTGACTTATGACACTATTTGAGCGGAGGTGCGTCATGTATGTACATAATAAAGTATTGAATTTATTATATATTTTTTTATTGCTAGTCATATATATTATTAGATTAAAAGGAAAGTTACTGGAAGAAGAAAAAAATTTAGGTTTATCAAATTTCAGATAGATAAGATTTATAACTCTCGGGTTAATCTTTTGAGTGTTGAAAATAACTTTCTAATCTTTACTGAAGTGTATTACACTCTGTGAATGCTATACAAATAGTTCAATAAAATAGAATTTCCTATAATTAGTACAATAACAGGGGAGGAGTCTGAAGATTGATACAATAATAACTGCAAACTGATAACTTTTAGTTCAGATTTGAAGTATGTAGTTTCTTTAAGCAGATTTTTACCGAACTTAAAACAGAAAAAATGAAATATATGGAAAAGTAATAGAATTTTCGCAGAAATTTTTATCACAACAAATAAGTTAATAAATATATATATGATGGTTGAAATAAAATTAGATTTTGATGGTCAGAAAATTATGAATTACATTTTGTTTAGTAGTAATAAAACAAATAATTTTTATACGAATGAGTAATGACCTTCTGTTTCGTGGTGTAATAAACAATAATTCTTTTCCGGGTACTTCAAATACGTGAATGTAATCTTTACAGTTATAGATAAAATATAATGCTTTATTCCGTAGTTCCATTTTAACGAAATGAATCATAAATTAAATAATTAATTGTTTATAATAATAGTACGTTCCTTCAAAACGATATTTTATTAAAAAAAGCAAATTTATGTTGTATTTATATGAAGTTGCGAATATTTCAAAGATCTTAATTTAAGTAATAATTTTATTTTACGTTTAAATCATTTTTGCAAATTTCTTGTTTGCCTATTTAACTTACTTTCCTTGTTTTACTAACTGACAAAATTGAAAATACTGATATTATTCGTACGTCTATCGTAAAACGGATACATCTCGTTGCACGTTGGGTACATTGAAAAGCAGCCAACACAAACATATTTGTAAAAGGATATTTTAACTAACTATCTAACTTTTTGTAAAATCTCTTATATATTTCAGTGTTTTAATCTTATATGAATTAAATTAAATACTTGTGCAGTTTTTAAAAGCGTCTAACTATAATGAATATTTATTCGATACTTTAATTGGCAAATTATAAAATAATTTAAAATCATTGTTTACGGTCGACTTATCTAATAATGATTTCTTGTATAATCTATTATAAAATCGTGATTTTTGTACAATCAAACAAATTATGCTTTGTAAGTTTTCACTCAACTGTCCACATCGTGGTTTTGAAGAACCACAATTGACAATTTAATATTTTGAACTAAATAAATAGATAAATAACTTACAGAACGCTAAAAGCAGCACACTTGCCCACCACATTCTCCCAACACAATAATCAACTGATGTCTTTTATCGATCGATATCACGTACATTTATTGGGCCGTTCTAACTCTTCAGTTTCCTGATATCAGTTCTTAATGGGATGATTCACATTTATGTCACTCTGCTATTGAAATGTGATAAGCTTTCCTACTTTATATAAATAGTACCAAATTTTTATTCGTTTCATTATTATCGATCCATTATCTGACGAACAATCTTTAAAACTCCCGGTTTAAATTTTCTATGGTTCAATCATGAGACCTCTTTTAACGTCTTAACACTAATGAGATCTAAGATTTTCGCGAGTAGTCATTTAAATGAAATTAATATTTTCGGATTTACTACACGATAGGTTCGATCCTGGCAAGTACCAATGTGATTTTTCCCAGTCATATGTATTTTGTAAAAGTATTTAGACATCACTGATTAATGTATTCCCAAAGGGGGTTGATGTCAGGCAGGCGGCCGTTCGTAAAAACAATTAGCCAAAACTATTTATAACATGTAAGGCAGACCCTGGCTAAAGCTGGGAAACTGCCCGTAAAAGAACATTATTAGATTATCTTTTGGGAAGTTTTTTAAAGTTAATTATGTTGTTGAATAATAAGTGCACGCGTTAAAGGGAGCTGCAAAGTAACCGAAACTTCGGGAATATGTAGTTTTTTTACCTGCGGAATAGGGAGATCCTCTGGGTTTGTGGAGGTCCGGTACTTCGGATGTCTTTTGGAACTTAGGAAGTAACTGGCTACTCCACTGTCCTTTCCTGCATCGGACGAGGGTCTTTTGCTACGCGGATGACATCCTCGTCATTGGTCTGGGTGGGAATATTGAGGAGGAAGCTTAATTCGCCATGACCACACCTCGAACGATGGATTCCAAGACGTCATGGGCATTAACGTTTTGTCTTGTGCAGGGCAGTGACGCTTGGATGGGTACTTGCACAAAATCTTTAGAAGAGAGGCTACTGCTACTGCTACTGCTACCGCTACTGCTGTGACGAGTTGATGAACACGGTTTGTCAGACATGGAGAAATGCCCTTCAAAAAATGAACATCGTTGGGGCGACATCTTTGTATCGGTAAAATATCCTATAACGAGTAACGCCGCTGACTCCGCGGAGCCAACATGAAGCCGTGTGAACCAGAAGATTCCACATACCACACAAGCAATAGAATGCCATTGTCATCCTAACACCGGGGCAATCATGTAGTCTTAGGTATACGTAAAAAGTTTTGACATGTAATTCGTATTTTAATATACATTTAAGTAAGTTTCGTAGTTTTCTTAGAACCTCCGGTTGCCATCCTGTATAATTCGGTATAATGTCATTAAAAAGTTCCGTATAAAATTTCATTTCAAAATTAAGACTATTTCTTTGACGTTTTAAACAAGTACGGTTAAGGAAGCAGTGTTAGTCAAGCAGTAACACATGCATAATGCATATTTTTTGCACACACTTGCAAATGTTTCGTGCATACAACACGAGATTTGTAGATCGTCCTTTAGACCAGTGCCGATAGCTTTTAAAACATAATTAAATTATAGTAGAATGGAACCCATTACAAAAGGAGGGGAATATTATAAATATTTAAGGAAAAATAATTTACGGGCGATCTGAGGTCGGGATGGGTACGAGGATGGGTATTTAAGGGTAAAAAATGGGTTTTCTCGATTTCCGGCAAAACTAAAAGTCCTACAAAAAAAATATATATGGCAAAGTTGTAGGTAATAACAAAATCTAAAACTTTTGTACTATCATATTTTTCACATAACCTCAAATTTTATGTGATAAATCCGAAAAACCAAGTTTTTGGTTTTTCGGATTTTTATCTATTCCAAAAAACAATTTTTTGTCACGAAATTTTGGTGAAAACTTTCTTTTTGATGTTCCAAATGCACTTTAATTTATTTGATTAGAAATATTTATTTTTTCAGCTTATTTTCAATAAATACTGAAATATCAGCCTCATTTTCAATCGAAAAATCACCCGGCAAAATATATATATATTTTTAAATTGGCGTGTTTTCTGTTAGTTGGAATCTCTATTTTCCGATGGTGAAGAAAAGAATATAAGTTTTTTACTTGCAGTACCAATTTTGGATAAAATAATCATGTCCCTTTTAATGATGTGACACTCGATATCGTTTGGAAAATGCTCTTTTAATTTATTTTTAATAGTTTTAGCAGCTTAATGTCAATTTTCTGTAAATTACCTAAGAGAGAGACTATCTGGAGAACTTTCAGAGTTCACAACTATTAAAAATAAATTAGAAAGAGCATTTTTAAAACGATGTCGAGTGTCTTTTCATTAAAAGAGACATGATTATTTTATCCAAAAATGGTACTGCAAGTAAGAAACTTATATTTTTTTTCCACCATCGGAAAATACGGATTTCAAAAACTAGAAAACATACCAAATTTTTTAAAAAAAGCTGATATTTTGACGGGTAATTTTTCGATTGAAAATAAGGCTGATTTTTCGGTATTTATTCAAAATAAGCTGAAAAAATAAATATTTCTAACCAAATAAATTACAGTGCATTTGGAACATCAAAAGGAAAGTTTTGACTAAATTTTGTGACAAAAATTGTTTTTTGGAAGAGATAAAAATAAAAAACCAAAACCTTGGTTTTTCGAATTTTGGAAAAAAAATTTTAGGTTTTGTGAAAAGTATTTTAGTACAAAAGTTTTAGATCTTTTTATTACCTACAACTTTGCCATATTTTTTTTCTGTAGGACTTTTAGTTTTGCCGGAAATCGTGAAAACCCATTTTTTACCCTTAAATACCCATCCCCTTCCCGACCTCAGATCTCCCGTAAATTATTTTTCCTTTAATTTTTATAATATTCCCCTCCTTTTCTAACGGGTTTCATTCTACTTTAATTTATTTTCATTTTTCATTGTTTTTAAAGGCATCTGCACTCAGCACTGGCCTACTTGAGATTATTTGTATGGAATATATGAACCGAGTAGTTGTGCATACCGCCGCTCTGGCTGCATATCGGCGCTAGCAGCTGTCGATCGAAAATGTTAGTTTTTACGTTGATAGATGGCACTTATAACAATTATACTAAATTGTGAAGCAAATGATATACATGTTAAAAGTGTATAAAAATTCTTATTTCGTAATGTTTGATGAAAAGTATTTAAGAAAGAATTAAACAATACTGGTTTAGTTGTTATATTGGCAGGGTATGAAGTGCTTATTTGCATCTTTGGTGTGCAAGCTATTGCTGAACCGTTTTTGTACAGGGATTGCTTTTCCGACTCTAAAATTGTAATTAGTGGGGCGATTTTTTTATATTAAACCACCCAAAATATTTAAGCTATTGGACAAAAAACCTCGACTTATACATTCGGTTGCCGAGATCATCTCCATAGATGAATGACCTGAGTTATCTGTATAGCGTTCCGCTCACTTTACTTAATACATAAGAAATAAAAGTCCGTTTCTGAGACATATTTTATTGTTTCATTAACAATATAGCCACACAAAACTTCACAACGCCAACTGTGATCACTTGTTCAGATACAATACATTATATAATATATACTATATAGGAATGTACATAGAAATTTGAAAGTTTGTATACAATGACTAAGAACATGAGAAAATTTTAATAAAGATCATTCAAAATTATGATTTATATAAGTTAATTGATGCTAAGAATCGTATACAATATTTCTTTTTTAATATAAATAAATGTTATATAATAAAATTTTTAGTAATGAAAATACATTTGATAGGAATGTTAGTTATATAAGAAAAATGCATATCTGTAATAATATACGTATATAAAGAAGATTTTTAACAAACAAAAATCACATGTTAGTATGAAACGTTACTCAATATTATAATATTTTATATAAACTTTGTTTTCCTTATATGTATAATATTGGTACTTTAGTAATGGCACTATCATGAAGGTCGTCCCAAGGTCATGTCGGCTAAAAGTTATTGTTCAGCAAATTAAAAATCAGTGACGTCGCTTTAAACGAATACAGCTCTTATTATTGACACAATAACGACTGATTCCGTTTAAAAATATCCCGTCATAATATATAATATATAAAAATTGTTAAAACTTAAACTACACTACAACTACCCCACATAACCTAGTAAACATGAAACGAGATAAAGATATCAGATCTTAATATAAAAAATACCTAAATATAGTTAATAGGTAACGGATTTTGAGCTAATTCATATTGCACATCCAAATATAATTGGGGAGCTCTCGTGATAACAGTTATTAAATAATACATCAACAACCTTACACATAATGTAACGCGATTACTTAATAACGGAAAAATAAAATTAAAAACTATAAAATTCATAGAAAATGCGAGATAAGAAAAACTGTAAATAATAATAGAATATTAAAGAGAAAACAGATCTAGTATAGTAATGAACTATGTCAAACGATTCGCGACCTTAAATATATGTCTTAGAGTCCATTCCGGCTCCCCATTAACAACCATGATTCAAATAAAACTACATCAATAACCATTCTAACATAGTTCTCGCCGCCATTTCGTTTATATATTTAATGACTGAAACTATAAATGAAATCAAAAATTATTTCAAACATGGCGGCCATCAACTTTGATAATATAATAATAATTAATGTACGAATATAATTGTATATAGAATACATGAAGAACAATACTACAATGAGTTGTAGAAGTCTTCAAGGAGATTATTGCTTTTTGGCTTCGTCTAGTCATTAGAAGTTCCACGTCCCGGGTCAGCGACCTCTACGTATAGAGCACTTTATTTTAAATATAATATTTTTTCTAGTCAAATGTTCGAAACGTTTGTCCTATGTCGAAATATAAATTAATATATCTTACGATCTAGTATAATTAATTTAGAATCTTTACGTATATACGTCGCCGGTCGCGACTCTCATTCAAGTTAAAGTACATATAACCTTGTATTGTGCGATATTTTCCGAGAGATGGCTGGAACACACACCGCCTTACACGTGTGTGTCAATGAGTTCAACATGTGTTTATGTTTGTGTGCGTTTAGTTGAGTGTCCGTGTGTGTGTGTTTGTGTCTGTATGTTGCTTATGTGTGTGTGTGTGTGTCAGTGAGTGTGTGTGTGTGTGTGTGTGTGTGCGGCGTGTCGTTCACGGCGGCAGGTTCATCTGCAGGTTCTGTAGATACGCCGAGGTCGAGTTCAACAGCCCGATGCGTTGTTTCTGCTTACGTTGCTCCGTCATCTGGTGACGATATATTTATAATATCAGTATCATTGTCATGTCAAGTCAAGTCAACATCTGATCTTTATTCACGAGTCATCAGTCGTCACCTGGTCCCGCAGGTCCGTCAGTAGGTCGGACAGCGCCCGCACGGCGACCTGTGCCCGCTCCAGCTGCAGGTGCAGGTTGCGCAGCTCGAGCTCTCCCCCCTCCCCCTCGCCGCCCCCCACCAGGGACAGCGCCCGGAGCCGCGGGAACCACTCCAGGTCGTTGTTCTTGATCATGGAGTGCACGTAGCTCTCGGGGCCGGTGAACTCTGTGGGGTCCTTGACCCTCACCAGCACCATGAAGTAGAGGTAGTGCCACATGTTGTGCTCGCTCTTGATGTGCTCCTCGAATGAGACCGTTTTGTTGTCAAAGGCTGACCTGTTCAACCCTGGAACAGATGTTGTAAAATATTTTGAGAATATGAAAGTGTCATTGTTTTAATAATTCCCCTTGTTACATTGTAACATTAAAGAACTGTTATATTTTTAACATTAATTTATTCTCGAATCAAAATTAATAAATGAAAGTATAGATGAAAAATCCTCGATACTGTATTTAAACCTACTAAAAAGCTTAAAATAAAGGTATAAGTCAGATTCGTATTAACGTAATATACTTTATTTCTACGTACCACATATGAAACAGGTATTTTTCAATATAAGTTCTTTCTGTTGTTTCTCGCTACGTAGATCCGCGAATGTGTCGATGATCACACCGAAGATGAGGTTGAGGACGATGATGATGACCACGAAGAAGAACAGCAGGTCGTACACCACGCGCGCCACGAACAACGGCTCCTGGGGGGAGAAAGGGGGGGATGAAGACCCGGATTAATACTGGACCTTGTTATTGAAAGCAGATTTAATTTCATATCTTATTATCTTGTACTGTATGTGAATACATTACACTATTTACCGCCTTACATGCCACAGTTAAGGAGTTTACTATCTTTATATATATAATTCTTCTGTGAGTGTGTATGCCACTGAACTTCTCTCAAACGACTGGACCGAGTTCATGAAATTTTTTTGTGTGTGTTCAAGGGGATCTGGGAATTGTTTAGATTCACAATTTTGTCTGCTGGACAATGTTTTTTTTTGACGTTAGATTTGACAACTAACTAATATGTCAATCATCTTGTCGCACTTCAAAACACGAAGATTTATGGCTTTAATAGGTAAACTCCAAAAATATAAATAAAAAAAAACAGATATTTTTTGATTATGGGCGATACGAAGTTCGCCGGGTCTTTTAGTGTATATATATATACATATATATATATATATATGTGTACATACAAAGCTAGCCGGCGCCCGCAGTATGTCCCCGATGCCCCCTCCGTTCCGCAGCCCCTGGTTGAGCGTGGTCACTATACACATGATGAGTGAGTCACAGCTCCTCTCCCGGAGGCCGCCCCCCACCGACACGAAGCGGGGCCCGCGGAGGTACTTGGCGGCGGGGTCGGGCCCCGCGCGACAAGACTCGCCCGAACAGGCCTCGCTCTCGTATCGAGGATCGTCATCATCTACAACAATAATATTATTATTAAATTATATTTTTTCTTACCTATTTCAAGCGTACCTTATATAAATACTATTGAATGACTTGACATTGAACTTTAGCAACTATTTTTCAACAATATTACGTATATATTTAGTATCAATTATTTGGTACTAATTGCTATTCCTATGAAAGGAGATAAATAATAATATATTTGCATCAAATACGAACAACGTATTTTTTTTATGTATCATTAGTCTCACAACACTATTATTAATTAATCATTTGTAACACTGTATGTATGTGTGTGTGTGTGTATGTGGTTGTATATGTGTGTGTGTATGTGTGTGTGTGTGTGTGTGCGTGTGTGTGTGTGTGTGTATGTACCGTCCAGCCTGTCCACGTTGACGAGGAAGTGGTCCCTGAAGAACATGTAGCCTACGATGGAGAACATATAGACAAGGACCAGCGCCAGCACGGCCGTCAGCAGGATCGACCGGCCGTTGCGAGTCACAGATCTCATCACGTTCAACAACGTCTCCTCGCGGTACACTATGTCTAGTAACTGGACAACACACACCAACATTATATATGACATGGCATGGAAAATTAAACAAATATGTATGTTTAACTAGCTTTCCGCCCGCGTGAAGTTCGGTTATATCGCGTTTCCAAAAAAAACTTTGAAAAGTCTGGGACAAAAACTATTCTGTTCTTTCTCAAGGTCAACTCTATATCTGTACCAAATTTCATTAAATCAGTTCAGTGGATTAGGTGTGAAAACGTAACAGACAAACAGAATTATTTTCGCATTTATAATATTAGTAGGGATTTATTTGTAACGTCGAGTGATGTTACTTTGATTTGACATTAAGTAATAGTATCCTTAATAGCATTAACAGTAATGAAGATAAATATCGACACGTCTTTAATAAAGTAAAAGACTAAGTTACTTGATATAGGTCATTGAACTCACCAGAACGGAAAAGAAGAATGGATGGCAACAAATTCCAAGGAAACAGAAGCCGAGATACACCCCGTGGTAGAGTAGCTCAGGGTCTGTGATGACGTGGCGAGTGGACTTGGACAGGGTGCCCTGGTTACCCATGATGCTCACCAGGTGGATGCCCTTCACCACGATCTGCACACACGAGAATAAGACGGAGATATATATACTGTATCTTTATATATATAATTCTTCTGTGAGTGTGTATGTCACTGAACTTCTCTCAAACGACTGGACCGATTTTGATGAAATTTTTTGTGTGTGTTCAAGGGAATCTGGGAATGGTTTAGATTCACATTTTTGTCCGCTGGACAATGTTTTTGACTTAAGAGATGAGTAAAAACTAATTTGACAGTTAAAAGTGAGCTTTAATTTTGAGATTTTACTCATTTTTACGTGTATATTTGCGTGTCTGTGTGTGTCTCTGTGTGTGTGTGTGTGTCTCCACATACAGTGAGCATGCCCAGCGTCCACAGCGTGGGCTCGGGCCCAGCGGTGAAGATGAGCCTGACGATGCCGGTAGCGAGCAGCGCCCTCGCCCCCGAGCCGCGCGGCAGCCACGTGACTAGGGCGCCCGCAGCCAGCGCCGCCGCCCACACCACCAGCGACAAGTGGGGGCCCAGCTCTGGAACACACACACACATTATAACATTACAATGTATTATTATTGGTAGTATTTTTTGTCTCCCCTTTTGTATAATAGAAGTAGAAAAAAAAGTTGTGTTAGGTAAATTGAAAATACTGTCCTTTTCCATGCCGTGATAACTTTAATTGAAACAACACCTAGCTAAAAATTTAATTACCTTTATTTTAAAACCTATAAATGGTGTATGTTTTGTAAGTTGTCCTTATAAATAAATAAAATAAATAAACAAACATACGGGTTGACTTAATAGTATCAGAGTAATATAGACAACTTTTATGTACATTTATATATAAATAATACATACAACAGACGGGTTTTTGAGAAGATACTGGTGTGCAAATTATTAACGAAGCCTTCATTCCCTAAACTGATTGTTCAGTGTTTTGAATTTTCTGTTTATAATAATAAGCTGTTGTTGCTAAAGTACGGCTTACAATTCCTTCTCACCGACATAATTTCTCAGATGAACACTTTAACTTGTTTTTTGTCGGCAGAAACATCACAAAAGGTACAGTAAATGTTAAATCCAGTTTTCTAATATTATAGTAGTTGTAATAGTACTATAATATTAGAAAACTAGTATTATAGTACTATTACAACTACTAAGTAGTTGCACAAGTCACGTAGCTAGTATACTCACTCGGATTTTCCTCGGGAAATGGATAAAAGAAAGCAACGATGACATTAATTAATACTGCAAAGTTGAATAATATGTTGCTCCATAGAGACATATAGGACGACACCCAGAACAGGAACGGTTGACCTGCGGGAGTGAAAACATACTAGAAGTTAATATATATAACAAAAGTGACTCTTTATACTATTAAAATAATACATTTTTAAAATTTTTGCCAGTACATATGCTTGTTCTATCTTATATCCGGTGTAGATTTGCACAAGACATTCGCTGGCAAATAGCTGCCCTAATAAGAAGAAACATAAGCTAATTTATATTATATTTTTTATATCAATAATACAGTAACAACGAGTATATTATAAATTTAGATATTTTGCAATTTGTAAATGTAACAACAATATATCGTCGGAGATAGTATAAATCCCAGTAACTATCATTGGATGACTCCGTGCATCTACAGTACAAGCAAGTTTAAAACTTAATAACTTCCTAAATTTCAAGTATTTTTTTCACTGTGAGTAATAATTATTATTGTATACAATTATCTTAAAACTCTTTGAATTTATTTATCTTCTGAAAGACTGCTTCTATTATAAATACTCGCAGTCATCCCGTGATATAGTATGGGATGTATCATGTATGTGTATAGTTTGTTGGGACCAAGTCTTTGAATTTATTTTCTTCTGTAAGATTGCTGCTATTGTACTCGGAGTCATTGGATGATGTAGTATGGCAGGTATCATGTATGTATAGTTTGTAGTGACCTCTGAGTTTCTTCTGCCACTTCATCTCGTGGAACAGGTTGTCGAGCCTGCTGAAGAAGTCCGCCACCTTGCTGCCCTGGTCATCTCTCTCGGCCGTCTGCAGCACGCGGTGCTTGCTGTCCGCCGGCAGGTACTCGCAGATCTCCGGGATGGGGAACACGATCTGCTCCATGTTGCGATCCGTGCGCACTATCTGAAGCATCACTAACAGTCACTACACACGTACTACCTAACATATACTACGTGTAGTGTGTATGTACCTCGATCTGCGCAGTATGCGTGCGGTAGTACTGCAGCGCGGGCGCGGCTGGGCCAGTGGGCGAGGCTCGGACCAGCGCCGCCAGCTCCTTGTTGTGGGCGGCCAGCTGATGACACAGAATGTAGATGTTGTGTCCCACCTGCATATAACAACAACATATAAATAAATACTCTAGCAGAGATTATTACATTCAGTACTAATATATCTCTTGATGTTTAAAACTTTATAGAGAAAACATTAAAATAAAATTATGATGTAGTTATTATTATTATATTTTAGATGTAGAGACATTTTAATAACTACACAGCTAACTTAATCACGGTCAGACGATATGAAATATTTATAGCGTAGAATAAAATAATAAATACGCGTTATGTAGCCCAAAATGATGGGTTTGTCTAAACCATATCAATTTGTTTATTACTCGACCAATCATTATCATGCGATGACAGGTGTATGTACCGTGTATAATTACAATAATAGTACATATATGTATGTATATGTATGTATGTATGTTCCGTACCTCCTTAGGGGACACTCCCTGGACGGGCGCGTCCTCCTCACACTCGGAGTCGGCGTCCAAGGAGTTCTCCTGGTGAAAAGCGGAACAGGCGACATCTACCTGCACGGGGAAACAACTATTGGTTAACTTACTTAACATAAACAGCAACTTGATGAGTGTAGATTTAATTTAATGGGAAGACGACACAGCAAACACGATAAATTTTCATATATAATATTTTCAACACGGGAAATAGTCATAAAAGTTATTTTCAATACGGGATTTTGTCATCCTACTAATATTATAATTGCGAAAGTTTGTGAGTATGTGTGTATGTTTGCTATTACTTCACGCTCAAACGGCTGAACCGATTTTGATAAAATGTTGTATACAGGAAGCCGACGTCCAGGAATAACACATAGGCTACTTTACATCCCGGAAATCCGTTGGAAAATGGAAATACCGTATATAATAAGTTCAGCTCGACTCTCTGTAACCAAGTAAGGTAAGTCCCTCACCAGCTGCTTGGGGTTCATGTTGTAGAGGATCCTCTCGGCGTTGTTCTCCGAGTCGTTCCTGGACTCCATGATGGCCAGCAGCAGCTTGGAGGCGTTGTTCTTGAGCTCCAACACCAGGTCCATGCGCGTCCTACCCAGCGGGTTGATGTCGTTCAGTATCAAAGCCGTTATAATGTCCAGACCGTTGCTTTCGTGGGTAGCTATGCAGTTTTGGTTTTCGTGGCATGGACCTGGAGAAAAAGGGAATTTATATACGAATATTAACTTATATTAGTTAATTCCACGACATTTTGAACAAAATAATAGTGTAAGTGGCATATGTGATGAATATTGTAATAGAAGCAAAGCGTTAAAATAAACGTAAAATGTCTTAGTTCCTCATAAATGTATAAATTAATTTGTTTAGCAATATTTTTTAACGTTTATGTATTCGTTTCAATCTATATTAAAAACACTTTATTGATTAATCTTTCAATTATCAATATCTACCTGCGAAATAATTATATTTAATATATTAATATTAACTATAAAAAAACTGTTTTGTAATGTACTGTGTATCAATATAAAACGCATCTCAATACATACCCTGACAGTACTCAGTGAGGGTCTCCAATGTTTGGTTGATAAGGGCCACGTTCCCTTCGTTGATGTATAGACCGAGCAGGCCAAGACCACCGGTCGTTGACCCGCAGATACAATCCAGGAACATTAGTGTTTCAGACACTAAGTTGTAGTTTGATTTGTTGTTTTGATTGCGGAGTAGATTCTATAAAAAATAGCATTAATTATGAAAGACTTTTCTGTCAAAAACTATTATAAGGGTTTCAATAAAGCTTTTATTATTATGTGGTTTTATAGGAATAAGGCATTTAAATATTCATACCTTATAACAAAAATATGGAACGGATTTATAATTTAGAATTTAATCGATGGATATATTGTCTACATATGTATGTATCAGCTGATACATTGTAAATACAATATCAAATATACCCAATGTCTTAATTGGCAACTATATTAAAAATTGTTCTAGAAAATAGTGTATAAAATTAAACATAAAGAACCTGCTTTCGCACAACCAGTTCAAGCGAATCATAACCAGTTTGATGTCTAGATAACAAAAAATATAAAAATTTTACCTTTACAATAAAATTTGTATTATGCTTCCAAGACGTCCGAAGTCCATTATGAGAGTACATCGCAGTCTTCGCCTCACTTGGCCGCTAGATGTCGCTACTAATGGTCGGTAACTGATTACCGACCACCCTACCTGTCACTTCCGGTGCGGACTGTAGTCTAGCTTTTAAATCCAAGCCACCAATTTCGTCATTGTTAGGCTCATAATGACATAGCACCAGGAAGACATTACTGGGACTTCGGACGTCTTGGAAGCATAATACAAATTTTATTGTAAAGGTAAAATTTTTATATTATGCGTTCCGTTAGACGTCCGAAGTCCATTATGAGAGTTTGTTTGTTATCTCCTGGTGGCTTGATTAATATATGTTTATATTAAAATGCAACAATGTGATTAGCAATATATTGTAAATTTAAAATCATAATTATTACATAAATCAATTATTGATCAGGCTGAAAATATTGAGACAGAGACTTCTCTGACGTGATATTTGTATGTAAATCATCTATATTTTTTAGATAGAATTTTCTAAAGGTACATTCATGCTGCCAGTTAGCTTTGGCTAAAATCTCATTAATAGGGTAATTTTCTATCCAATTTAAAGAAGAGACTGCTGATCTACAACTTCCAGCTGGCGCCTGAATACCAGCTTCAGCCAGAAGTTTCTTTATCCAACCACCGATCATTGCTGCAGTTGCTGGCCTTGTAGGACTTCTAGTCGCTAAGAATAAATTTGTTATACCTCCTCGGGTATTCCGAGTCAGATTTACTAATGTACGTAACCAATATACTGCATCAATGCTCTTGTCTGGTGAGGATAAAAAGGTCCAGCTAGATTGTTGGTAGGAAGAAGAGTCCGTCTTAGAACCGAAAATGGGATGCAAGGTTATCGAATTTATATTATCTACAAAGTGAAGTTCATCCACGTGCAAAAGAGTGAGGTCGTGTACTCTACGACCAGATGATAATAATAATAAAGCTGCTGTATGTCTGGATACTTGATACAAACTGTTTAAATTTATATTAAGACTTTTTAAAGACCTAATCAATATCCTGGCATCCCAAATCGGAAGTTTAGGGGGTTTAGGTTTTGCCAACGAAATAGCTTTGAGTATATGTCTTACTATTGGATTTGTAGAAACCTTAATATCGGATATCGTTTCACAAACGGATGCAATGACTGATTTATGCACAAGAATGGTTCGGTAGGAAAGACCATGGGTTAAAAATAGATAGGCTAAGTACCTTGCTACATTGGCTGGCTTCGGTAAACGAAAATTAATGCTATTTCCTTGACAAAATCTTACCCATCTACTCCAAATTGGGGCATATGTCTTAATGGTAGACTGCCTCCAGCAAGATGACAATAACTGTTTCTCTTGAGGCGTCCATGTCTCTGTTAAATCGTCCCACCCAAAATCAGCCAGGCTTCCAGGTGTAACTTTCCGACTTTCGCTGGTGGTTGCATTGTCGCTGTGTCGACCAAAGTTTCGTTCAGATTTCTGAGCTTCACAGGGTGCCTTATGGCACGATTCTTCACATCTGGCCTCCAAAAACATTTCTTCCACTTGGGGGCTATTAGGATGAACTGACCCGAGGCTGAATTTAGATGATCCAGAACCCTGGGTATTAAGCTGGGTGGTGGGAACAGCCATGCAAGTCTGTAATGCCACGATTTGCTGAAAGCGTCGTGAAAGTAGGCGTTCGAGTCTGACAAGTCTAGAGAACAATAGTTTGCCACGACATGTGCCGTCTGCGAAGCAAAGAGGTCTAAATCGGGTGTGCCCCACAGGCTGAACAACCTTGAAGTTTCTTTGTCTCTGATATGCCACTCGACGGGCGCGCGGTTTCGAGACAGGCGGTCGGCTTCGGTGTTCAGGAGACCTGGCAAGTGGTGCGGGCGAAGCACAATGTTGAAGTGGTCTACTAGATTCAGGAGTTGTCGGGTCAATTCTAACAATTGACGTGATCGTGTTCCGCCTTCGTTCTTTATGTAGGTCACGACCGTTTGGTTGTCGTTCTGAAGAATCACTGTCGAGTTTCGTAGCTCTATAGCTTTGACTGATATCGCGGTGAACACTGCCCACATTTCTTTCAGATTGCAATGCCAATTTGCCTGATGTTGTTCCCATGCACCTTTTATCAGTTCGTTGTTTACAAGGGCTCCCCATTGAATGTCTGACGCGTCGGTGATGACGTGGTTCGTCAACATTCTTTTGGGATGAATCGGTGACTGTCCGCCGATATTTTCTGTCCACCAAATCAGTTCTGTACGTACCTCTTCTGAGAACTGAATCTGGGATTGTGGACACTGCCTGAGCCTGTTGCTGTGTAACTGTAATAACCGGCAATGTAACCTTCCCCTGGGGGTGATGAAGGTTGCAAAGTTTAGGTGACCTAATAGGCGCTGAGCCTGTTTTAGGTTCCAAGTACGGGCCACGAGCCGCGCACGTAATATTTGCCGAATTCGTTGGACCTTGTCGGAGGGCAAGAACTTTGTGTTGGTATTGGTGTTCCATACCACTCCCAAATAATCGATACACCTCGTTGGTGTCATTATCGATTTTTCTGTATTGATCCACCAACCCAGATCGGTCAGAAATTGTGTTGCGACCTGTACCTGAGTTGTGAGTATATCTCTGTCCTGATGGGCTATCAAGTAATCGTCGAGATAAATTACTAACCGCAGCCCTTTCTTGCGAAGTATTTCTGCGGTCCAGTTCGTTACGGAGGCAAAAATTCGAGGCGCTGCTGCTAGCCCGAACGGCAGACATGTCATCTGCAAAAGTTGACCTTGATAGCTGATCCGAAGAAATCTTCTGTGCTGATTTTTTACAGGACAGTGATAATAGGCTTGGCTTAAGTCCAGTTTCACCATCCAATCTCCTCTTTGAAGAAAATTGGGTATTTGGTGATGATGAAAAAGATTGAAATGTTTTGGTTTCATGTACTGGTTTAATGCCTTGAGATTGAATATTGTTCGACTTTTCCCGTCGGATTTCGATATTATGAATAGAGGAGAAATGAAGGAAGGTGTTAGCGGTGCTGGCTCCAAAACCTTCAAATGAATTAATTTTTGAATTTCGTTCGACATTATATTTGAAGTCGGAGTTTGATACTTCCTTAAAGCCTCTAAAGTTGGGAAAACTAGAGGCGGTGGCTGGGTGAATGGTATCTTGAGACCAGTAATTATTTTGCATATTGATTTGGGTGCATTGAACTGTAGCCAAATTTTTATAAAATTTTTCAGACAACCGCCTGAAAAAATCATCGAGTCATTTATTTTTATACCCCTGCCTTCCGCCCTCTGCTCTATATTTCCTCCCCCCTTTTCTTGCAGTCGAGGAGTTTTTCGGATGAAATCCGATACGGTCCTTGGTCTCATCCTGCCTGACTTTAAAATTGTTACTTTTTCGACCTCGAAACGACTGGATATTGGATGATGTCGAAGGCTCAGGCGATTTCGGACGAGAACGGGTAGATGATAAAGTTTGTTTTTGTAATTTATCTACCCCGCCAATTTTTTGTAAATATATTGACAGCTGACCGGGATCAAACATGTACTCGCAAGAAGGAGGTATTTTATTAAGGTCTTCTTTCGTAAATTTATCTTTTAATTTTTTAACTAAATCCCGCCTACGTAACTCTAAAACTTCAGCCCGTTTGCCGCAAATCATTTGTAGTATATCGTGAGAAACCGTTTTGTAATCGGAACCGTTTCCAAATAATTGGTTTAATTTTTCATAAATGACGGTAGCGTTGAGTTGAGTGTCGGTAGACGCACACCAATCAATGAGAGTTTGTAAAGCAGAATTTATCGCTTCGTTTTGGGCTAAAACCATTTGAAACCAACGTAAAGGAGTAAAAGGATCCTCTAAACGTCGCAGTTCCTCATTTACTTTTAATTCCGTAAACGCCGGGAAAGCCACATATTTTTTCTGAACGTCTGTATAACGAACCGCATTCCAGTCAGGTGAATCAAATCTTTGCATAACCCTTATTCTGTCAACACGAGCTGGCTTTGCTTTCGGTAAAGAAGGTTCTGTGACGGCCACGTTTAAATTAACAATACCACCCGCATCTAATTTCGGCGGACATAAAAATTGTTCATTGGCCGATAATACCGAATTATTTGAGTTATTAAATAAGGGTACTTGCACGTTTGTGGATTCATTATGCGTAGGTTGAGAAAACCTAGCCGATAAAACATTATTTAAATGACTCACCAGCTGCTGCGACAATATGTCAAACCTTTCCTCCAGGTCCTGCAGACTGGCTCTCCTTTGGCGTTTTCTCGGCGGCTCCTCGTGATCCGAAAGGCTTTCCGAAGAGCTACCTTCGCTTGAACTCTTCTCTTCAGTAGGCACGATATCTTCTCGATCACTCATTTTATATTCACTTTTATTTCGTAGGGTATTTAAATAAAAATAGCGACAATTATTATGACTTTTTACAGTTTTTCGTAACGACCAAGTGCTCGGCTCGAAAAACGATGCAACAATGACGAAATTGGTGGCTTGGATTTAAAAGCTAGACTACAGTCCGCACCGGAAGTGACAGGTAGGGTGGTCGGTAATCAGTTACCGACCATTAGTAGCGACATCTAGCGGCCAAGTGAGGCGAAGACTGCGATGTACTCTCATAATGGACTTCGGACGTCTAACGGAACGCATAATATATGATTTTAAAGAGAATATACAGGGTGACTGGTGAATTACTATCAATATTTAAGGAGAATACTCTGTACATGATTCTCATTCGAATTATGTAAAAAAAATAGGCACTTAATTTTTGACCAAATTTCCGTATAAATAAATAAAGTGTTGACACATTCCAAGTGTTCCAAGTGTGGACGCGTGCGGCGGCGTGCTGATACAACACCACGCCGCCGCACGCGTATGTGTGAGTGTGTGTGTATACGTAATCTGTAGGGTGTTCACACGACGCGTAATTAATTACATAACTTTTGGTTAACTTTACTTAGAAGTTTATTAATATTTATGTTATATTAATTTTTATTTTGTCATATATGATCGTCAAATATCACGTCCTCAAGTATCGATAGTAATTCACCAGTCACCCTGTATATAAACTGTAGAAATTTGTACAATTGTTATCAAAATATTATATGTATCAAACAAAACTTATGAGCGTCGATATAATATTAGGAATACGGAATATGAGGCTCATACTTTGAGCGTAGATCTATATATCTATATGGTCATTTTATTTTTTAATTTAATTACTAGACGTTTTGTGATTCCAAGAGCCCCCTGTATATATAATGTTCACGTGTAATGCTAGGGTTGCCTCCACCTATATTCTCTATACCTGTAGGTCAGGGTTGTGGTTCTCACACAGTAGCTGCAGGAACCTCAATATAGGCGTCATGACAGCCACCTTAGCGGGAAGTACGTCCGTGTTCCCCGCCTCGCGTTTCTTCTCCGCCATAATTTCTTCAAGCACTGTTGTACCTATAATGAGTGTATATAAGATTATTATATGTTTTAGAATTAATTTGATAGCTCTAAGAATATAGGAATTTGATTTAAGATACTTGATGAATTGATGTTTGTATGTATATAAATGAAATATAATATGAATCGCTAGTTAATAGTAAAATTTTATGTATTAATATTTAAATCATTAACATTTTTTTATGTGTGTGCTTTATATTATCAGCATGAAACGAGTTCGAGTGTGGTGATATAGGAAATTTGAGTATAATTACTGTTGATTCCTTAAACATTGCATACAAAGAAAATGAAGAAAGAAAATAAGACGTTTTAGCCCACACAAGAAGAGATAATTCTTATGATAGTTGATAAGCAGCAAAATATATACTTAAACTTAGTTAAGTTATGGCATGAATTACTTTATAACTGCCAATTTAGGGTGGTAATTCAAATGTATCCAAAGAATTCCATATACAGGTTTAAAAAACGATGTATTTAAACATTATAGTATACAGTATGAACCCCCTGTATATGTACCATGCGACATGGTGTGTACGTCAGAGTAAGCGTGTACGGCGCTGCCGCAGGCGCTGGCCACCTCTTCGTCCATGTCCTCGCCCACCACCGGCTGACACGCGCCCTTCACTGAAACATATACACATGGACTTATTAATATATAAATATAGTTATATAGATATAAAGAATTAGTTCCTATTAGCTTTGAGGTTGTGGACCCCTGTTTCATGTAACCTTCGCGACATATCCTACTATTATTATAATTGCGAAAGTTTGTGAGTGTGTGTATGTTTGTTACTACTTCACGCTCAAACGGCTGAACCGATTTTGATATATTTGTATACAGAAAGCTAACGTCCAGGAATAACATATAGGATACTTTACATCCCGGAAATCCGCGGGTAACACCGCGGGGCGCAGCTAGTATACAAATATAGTTATATCGATATAAACAATTAGTTCCTATTAGCTTTGAGGTTGTGAACCACTGTTTCATTAAGAGACCTTCGGAAAATTTGTATGATATATGGTAACTTTAAAACCAGTTTAATATAATTGGAATGAATTTTGTATGATAGTATGTTCATATTTTATTTATTTATTCACATAACTCTTATAACATTTTGAATGACTAATGTAGATAACGGATCGACTTGTCTCACATAGATACCTTTCAGTTACAAATTCTTTATAGAGAATTTGTAACTGAAAGGTATCAGGAACACACGATAATTATTTGAAGAATCTTAATAATTAAAAAGCATTGTGATGTATGATTCACTAATTTGACTAATAATCTAACTCTTCAAGATACTGTGTCAATATGAATCATGAGTTACTAAGGATATATAAGTATGACCTTAAAAGATATCTGTCCGTGATCACGGTTGCTGAAAACTAGCCGAAAAATCGGGAGTATGTGGTTTTTATCAAAAATAAAGTCATGTAGTAAATCCGAAAAATATTAGACTCTTGAAAATCTTAGATCTCATTGCCTTAAAGTATACGAGATATCCTACTAATATTATAATTGCGAAAGTTAGTGAGTGTGTATGTTTGTTACTTCTTCACGCTCAAACGGCTGAACCGATTTTGATAAAATATTGTACACAGGAAGCTGACGTTCAGGAATAACACATAGGCTACTTTACATCCCGGAAATCCGCGGGGCGCAGCTAGTAAGTATATAAGTATGTCATGTAGATTGATTGTTACCGTCGCTGGTATAGAGTGTATAAGTAAGTAGAGTGTATGTTACCGTCGCTGGTAGTCTTCTGTTTGTCGGTGGAGCTCCTCTTGTCGCTGGTAGTAGTGGTCGTAGTACTAGACACAGCCAGTGACCGTATCTCCTGCTGCGCCTCCCTCATCTTGTCGTAGAACACCTTCAGGAACGCTTGCGATATCTCTCCGTTCTGCAGCTTGGTGAATATACTGTTCTGGATTATGGGATTACCTCCTTCCAGAAGTGCGATACCTGGAAAAATATGTAGGTATAATGAAGATATTTTAGTTTTTGGTAGAACAAAGTATACCTAATGTTTCTAAGTTATTAATTGCTGAATGGTATAACTATTTGGAACACGTCATGTACATATGTATATTGTAATAGCATTATTTTTTCTTTCTTAGATTTTTTTTTTAAGTTAAAAGTTTCTTTTTGGTTTATGTTTTATTTTGTTATTTTATTTCTTATTTTTGAAATAACTGATATTTCATCATTTCTGTACGGTCCCAAATAAAAATGTTCTTTCTTTCTTTTCTTTCTAAGTCAACATCATCAGCCTATCAGAGCCCACTGCTGAGCAAAGATTCTCACATGGAGAAGATTTGAGCATTAATCACCACGTTTGCTCAATATGGGTTGGTAATTTCAAATTTATATCTTATAGGTCTAGGTATAGAGTGTAAATTCCAGTGTTTGTAAAGACTGACCGAGCTGTATGGCTTCAAGGAAGATCGCGGGTCTGTTGATGGAGTTCATGACTAGTTCCACCACCAAATCAGAGGCTCCTTCTCTGTCAAGATGCTCTTGCACCTGAGCCAGGGACTGACCCGTCCGCAGCAACACCTTGGCTGTTGAAGGAAATTATATTAATACTCAAATATTATTCAATGTGACAAACACTGAAAAAAACTTAGAACTTTGAAATATCTTCTTATTGCTCTTGCAAAAAAAAATGGGACATATAAAGGATTTATTTCAAGGGTATTTTTAATTTTTACATTTTCAGCACAATGGTAAGGAAATTTTTAATGTATGGGTACATAATTTATAGCTTAAAGGAATACATTGATAACACATATTGTGGAATTCATGTACATGGTTGGACATACTGGGTGGATGGGAAAAGATAAAATTAAATGATAGATAATAGAGAGGAATACTAATAGACTGATATTTATTGCTTTCATTTCAAAATCTCAGTTCAGTATAAGTAAGCATGTTTATTTTCTTTATCATGTTTATTTTATTTAAGTAAGCATGTTTATCTCTTAAAGATGGAATCTATAGAGCGCGGATTATTAAATATCCTCTAAAATATCCTATAAAAACTATTAAGTTTACTTCTACATATATTGAATAATGTAATTGGGGTATCTGATATCAAATTAACAACTTGTTTTAGCTAATCTCTAACGGCAGGACCGATTTTGACGGGACTTTCGCTCTTTGATAGGTAGGTTACAAGGACCACATACTTCTACTACTACTAGGTAGGTAGCGTACAAGGACTACAAAAGGGAAGTTCTTTATTAGTTTTAATGTTTGTTACTCGTATACTCTTTAAATGAACAACATATTTTTTTTTAAGTGAAAGGGCATTGTCCTTATGTGGTTTCAGTGTCCTCAATTCTGGATCTGATGAAGAGCTTCTCAATAAATCGAATGAAACCTCACACTGATAATAACGCATGTATAAGGGGTAATAGCTTGTAGTTTACTACAAGTATCGCTGTTGGTACAAAAAATAAAGGAAATTGCACAAACTGAAGTGACCGTAAGCCGATATATATTTACACACATGCACACATTGTAAGGCAGTCCCTGGCTGTAGCTGGTTAATTGCCAGGTAGAAGAATACACGCTATAAATCTACCGTGCAGTGTAATACAAAGCAAGTGTTATATGTATGAACACCCACCTCTGTTCAGCTGGCTCGGTACTGTACCAGCTGCGCATGCGCAATGGGAAACAAAACATCTACTCATCACTAATACTATAAGGCTAGACATATTTTAATATAAACTGGCAGTCTTAAAACTCTGATACATTTATTTATACAATTCTTAATGTTTCTTTGTATATAATATGTAATATATTAAAATATCACCAGCCATTATCATTTCGATTTCGACCTTATTTAGTAAAACATAAAATACAAATTAACATGTCACCTTCTGTTGCTTTCTATACTACATATTTATTATGTTTTACAAAATAAAGTTAATTAAATACAAATATTAATTTTATTGTTCTCGTTATTAAACCTTTTCTATATTTCAGTGTATTGTCTCTATGTCTAAAGTGCAAACTAATTTGATAACATTATTTTTCTATAATAATGATTCAATTTTAATTCCTTAGGATGATATTGATCTTAAGTTTCTTAGAACACTAATAATGAAATGAAACTCCATGAATTGTGTCCATGTGCAAGCTTGTGTGGAGATTTGTGTTCATATGTGTGTAAGTATAAGTGTATTTGTGTATATGTGTTTGTCCTCTTTCACTTATAAGTGTTCATGTGTGGGTGTAGGTATGTATTCGTGTACTTGTGTGTGTGTGTGTCCTCACCGCCAGGTCCGTGAGCGACGGGCGGCGTGCTGCTCGGCCGAGGCTCGCTGCGGCGACGGACGAAGTATTGGGACAACAACTTACTACGTAACTGGTTACCCTGTTATATAGAAAACGCATTAAATATACACACATGATTATATACAATGTTTGAATTATGGGGTTAATAGAACACGGAAGAGAAAACCAAACAAACATTAAGTATTAATATTTTTTGTAAATCAGTACTTAAGGAAATTAAATAGGGAACGTCGATGACCTTTTCCCCGTACTCAGGGTCGGTGGCCATCATCTCTCGTAAGGTCCGCAACACTTTCACACATAACTTCTCTTCTTTTTCTTCTAGAAGTTTCTCTGTATGACGAATCAATCTGGAAAAGTTTATTATGCGCCACTCAAAATAATTATCTGATATGAATGGTATTTTTATATTAAATATGTGTGTAACAGCTACGTAAATCGTTTAGGTACTAACTACAACGACTTATTTTTTCGCTTAGACTTATTTAATGTCGTCACATTCAACTTTAATTTAAAAAAGCTTTAAAAAGCAGTGCATCTTGGTTCAAATGTGAATATACGGATACACGCGCACGCGCATACAAACACAGATACACATTAATAACGAAGAATCTGGCAGATTAGTATGAGATTAATTAAAGCTTAAGTCTCGCTTCCCTTATACATATTTCTGTGTCACCTATGTCTGTCTTAGTATTATTTAGCAACATTTTAAAACGTTACTACTGTAAAGACTTAAATTAACGAAATAAATAAATACATTTATGAGGTGTAACCAAGTTGGAGATATTATTTTTGATATAAGTTACAAAGTAAAACATATGGGTAATCAATCTTTTCATATTCTACTACTGACTACTATACTAATTATTTCCTATTTCTAAACTTTCAGTATACGTCATATACCTGGATATAAATATCCCGCTAGTATCAGGATGCGTGAGTTCTCCCGGGCTCGTGAACAGTCTGTGAGGCTTGTACAGTATGTCCACTAGTAGTGATTGCTCAGCTTGTAATAAAGGTCGTAACTGTTCTTCCAGGAGTGCGACGATTTCTTGTAGACCTTCCATCACAGATCGGTCATTCTGCAGGTTAGACTGGAAAGGAGAGAAAATATTAATAATATCTCTCATAGAAAGTGAAACCTCGTTATAAGAAAATGTATATAGGAATAGGTAGAAATCAATTTTTGGTGAACTCATATTGTTTCTTTAAGACAAACTTTATAAACATTGCTTACAATTCTTAATTGACCCAACCACATCTCTTTCATCATATTCATTTGAAATTTACTTCAGTAATATGAACATAACTATAAAGTTAAATTTCTTCTATTTGTCACTACGCAAAAAACTGTTCGTTCTATAATGCCGTAGTAAAGTACTTATATAATATAATAGTATGTATGTATTTTCACAATTTCTCATACCTGTGACGCCATTTTCTCCAGCTTAGAACTCTTTGAAGCCAGCAGCCACTTGCTCGTCTGTCGCGACAGGGCCGCGGCCTTCTCGAACACCGTCTGTATCTTAGCCTCTAGTTCGAGCGGGATCGCTATACTTCGGCTTTTAGCTTGAAATTCAAAATTATTTGCTTTAATATTCATTTTATGTATTTATAAAAGTAGGTATTTTAGCCTTCCAAGAAAAGCTCGGTTTTGTTTCATATTTTATGAAGTACTCAACTGATATTGTAAATACAAAAATCTACAAGAATTCCATTCGGTTACAGCATATATCTTGAGTCATTTTTCTGTAAATCTAAATCATAATTCTATGTGAGCGAGGTCTCTGTCATAAACTAGTATATAATATATCTCACCGACTTCACTGAGCGTCCGTATACACTTCTCTACGTTGAGTTTCTGCGGCGGAGTGAGCCACGGACACTGGTAGATGCGGAACGTGGTCTGGAGCAGCTTCACGAAGATCGACTGACGAGTCTACGGGACAAAATATACTTAAACTATGTATATACTTATACTATCCCTACTAATATTATTAATGCGAAAGTAACTCTGTCTGTCTGTTACGCTTTCACGCCCAAGCCACTGAATTGATTTAATGGAATTTGGTACAGAGAAAGAGTTGACCTTTAGAAAGAACATATGATAGTTTTTATCCCAGACTTTTGAAAGGTTCTCTTGGAAACGTGACATAACCGAACTCCACGCGAGCGAAACTGGGGGAAAGCTAGTAGTATATAACTAAGTATAGTACATTTAAACTATGAATGTTAAAAGTATATGACATTAATAGTCTATGTATTTTTATTCTTACATACAGAACATAAAAGCTTCTTTCGTAATATTCTGTTCATTGAAAGATATCTGATGACGTCATTGAGTTAAATATATGGCGCTAGTTGTCATATTAAAATAGTATTAGTTATTATGATTACTTACGCCATAGTTGACCCACAGCAGCAGAAATAAAAGTGATACGACATTATATATTCTCGATTTATAACATAACAAAATAATCATAGGTTTGGATACATCAATAAGATGAATTATGTTATTGTAGATGGTAAAATTAGTTTATCCCAGAATCTGATAGGACTACAACAAGGAAATAAAAATGCTACTTCATATATAAATAAATAGCATAATAATATAAGACTAATAATTAGCGAGAACTATAACTACGACAGAGAAGAAATTATAATGTTAATAAAATAATGTTTAATTTTTTGTCTTTAGCTCTATCCCACACTTCACTTACAACAGCTATATAGGGCGGTACAGATGTTACTAACACCGTATTGATTTTGGATTTCTGTTCTTGTGTAACCTTGTGTTGATAGGTTGAAAATATTACATAAAATACATAAATAAAAATAATAATAAAAAAAATATACAGTATGTTATGTAACAGAGGGCGTTCCCTTGAACACGTTAATATATATCACTAATAGATTAAAATAAATATATCACTTTAGAAAAATAAGCATAAAATAATCAGAATTAAAAAAAAAATTAATTCAAAATAAATTCGAAACCTCCTGTGCAAAATTAAAATAGCAGCGCGGAAAAGTAGGTAGTAATATTTGAGTGCGCAGGTTACAAGTAAACGAAGACTGACTTAATGCTATTTATTTTATATAGATTACACATATGGATGTTGCACGTTCAATGCTTCGTTACGCACTGATGATCTTGACCGAGTCCCGCGTTCTCGCGTCGTAGCTAATAGTTTATATGAGGCGTTTACATTCTTGGTAATTGGCTCCAACATCCTCCCCCCCCTCGAAATCCTTCGGTGTTCGAGTGACGTCCCTTGAATTTTCTAAAGAACAGAGGTTGTGTACAGCTCTACGGACGACTCCCTTGGAGGTGAAGACATCGGCGACTCTAGCAATTCCATCGGATCCTGGATAAAGTTTTTGGATTCGTGCCATTCGCCACTTAAGAGGTGGTAGGTTCACTTCCTTTATGATGACCAGATCGCCTTCCTGGAATCCTTTTCGCTCGACTCTCCACTTAGACTTCTGCTGCAATTCGCAGAGATATTCGTGCTGCCAGCGATCCCAAAAATGTTGTCGCATCCTTTCCAGAAGTTGGTATCGGTTAAGTCGATGTGGATTGAAGTTCATCAAGGTTTCGGATGGCAGCGCTGTTAATGGTTTACCGATCAGAAAGTGCGCAGGAGTCAAGGGATCTAGGTCAGTGGGATCCGATGAAAGAGGAGTTAAGGGCCTGGAATTAAGGATTGCTTCAACTTGCGAGAATAAAGTCGATAGTTCTTCAAATGTGAAATGTTTATCGCCTAATATACGTATTATGTGGTGTTTTGCAGCCTTAATGCCTGCTTCCCAAAGACCCCCAAAGTGAGGGGAGAAGGGGGGAGAAAAGTTAAATTTTATGCCTTGCTCAGCAGCAAAACCTATAATATCTTCATTGTTTTTTGAGAGGTTAGTTAGAAAGTTATTTGCTCCAACAAAATTGGTACCATTATCGCAATATATTTCTAATGGTTTACCGCGACGAGCTACAAAGCGTCGCAGATACAAAATGAAACAATCAGTCGTCAATGCTAGCTACCTCAAGGTGCACGGCCTTTGTACTAAAGCAAATAAACAAACACATATAGCACTTCGTAATCCGGCAACCGCGACCTTTGCGGTCAGTGATGTGAAATGGGCCACCGAAGTCGACTCCACTAATGTGGAATGGCCGACTTGGAATGACTCTAGTTGACGGTAAGTTTCTGCCTCTTAAAGGCTAAAAATTATTTCTGATGTCATTTAATAAAAGTCCCCAACTTTGTAAAAGTTTTAAATGAAAATGATCGGACGTAAACGGCAGACGCATATGCTAGCTGAGAGGCATCAGAAAGCCTGAAGCTCAATTCGAATTGCTTGCGGTAAAAGAACGCACCTAGGTATTTGAAAATTGGATATTGAAGCTAAGTTCGACGCAAAGTCTGTCCATTGTTTGAATATAGATTTATCCACTGGATCATCCCAAGTACATTTTCGATAGCCACAGCCTCTGTAAAATTATTTTAGGGATGATGGTGCATAGGCTGAGTAATCCCAGTGGATCAAAAAGCTTTGCTGAGTTGGACAAGACTGTCCGTTTTGTGGCAACTTGATCAAGTTGCAACTTAGCTGAAAATTGCGATACGTCTCTCGATGGATCCCAATTCAGACCCAAAACTGTCGAGTGAGACATATGGTCATATTGATGATGACATATTTTAATTTTATATGTGGGTTCATCGCGCCACAGAATTAATTGTAAATGTTTTTGCTTTGGAACAACTAGTATTTGACGATTCATCTTTTCGACGTCTGCTGATACAACATATCGATGCTGCCGATATCGTAAAAGAATTGAAAGTAAATCAAAAACCTGTACTACAGGTCCGATATATTGTACATCATTGAACGAGACACCAGAAGATGTCTTTGAAGAGGCATCGAATACGACACGAAGCTTAGTAGTCTCGCTAGACTCTCGAATGACAGCGTGATGGGGCAAGTAGCATCCAAATGCTGGTCGAGGAACTTCGGTCATATGACCTAACTGTTCATATTCGTGAATGAATTCAAGATATTTTTGTTTAAGAGCTGGTTTAGTCTTAAATTTCCTTTCTAATTGCAACAAGCGTTTTTCAGCTATATTGTAAGAATCACCCAAGCACTGAGTAGATTCTTTAAGAGGAATTTGAACACAAAATCTACCGTGAGCATCTCGATAAGTAGTATTTTTAAATAAGTTTTTGCAATAATCATTGGTAAGAGACTCGACATTAGAAGGCACCTCTTCGAGTTCCCAGAATTTATGAAGCTGCTGGTTTATATCCAATGAAAAATGACAAAATGATTTACGATTCTTATTGTTACTATGAATAGCAGTTGGACCCGCTACTATCCATCCCAGCTTCGTTTCCTGCAAGATTGGGCCTTGAGGTCCTAAATTTATCCTGCTTGATTCCAACAAGTCCCAAAATACATCAGCACCCAATAAAAGATCAATATCGGAAGGTTCAAAGAACTTTGGATCGGCAAGTTGGACATGACACGGAATGTCCAAATGTTGTACGTTTACTGCAACATTGGGTAATCTATCAGTGATGTGAGGTAACACAAAACATTTAACACGCATAACTAACGAACTGTTTAACGACCCTATATCTAAATAGCAATGTTTTGTGACATTGAAGACACTACTTCCTATACCTGATACGCTATGGTAATCAGAATCAAAATGTTGCGAACCTGTTTCCCTTAGAGCCCTGACAGTCACAAAAGAAGACTGACTGCCACAATCTAGTAAAGCTCTTAATATGCATGTTTTACCGTTACTCGTCACCTTGACTAAAGCAGTAGAGAGAAGTGATTGATTGGTAGAAATTGCAGTCATGGAAACCGAAGCAGAGCTACTCGGCACTTCGGAATCGGTAGCGACCGTGGCGGCAGGTGATAGCGTAGGTAAGTTTTTACTATTATTATCACTTTGTTCTTGAATTTTAAATGATTGCTGTATAGAATTTTGTTTATGTATTAAAGTGTTATGTTTTTTGTGACAAATTCTACACCCACCCATCCTGCACTGATAGGCTTGATGCCCCTGGCGAAGACAGTTGGAGCATACATTTAGTAATTTAAGTTTATTAATTCGATTAGAGACTGGTAGTGACTTAAACGTGTTACACTCGTATAATTTATGATTCTGTTTACAGAGAAGACACTGCGCGGAGGGTGATGGTGATTCTATAGAAGAACTAAGGAATGATTTTGTGTTGGAGAAACTAAGGCGTTTATCAACTTTACTGGGTTTATTAACATTCATTGTTTCTAATACCATAGAACGCTTTCGAAGAAAATCATAAAAATCGTCCAGTGTGGGCGCGTCTTTATTACTTCTATATTCCTCCCACTTCCGAGAAGTAACACTGTTTAATTTGGCAGAAGCTAAAAAAATTATTAACGTATCCCATTTGTCCGTCGGTTCACCTAAAATATGTAAGGCGTTTAGGTTTTTCGATAATGTATCGATAAGATTACGTAAACCACTGTGGGATTCCTTAGTTAAAGATTCGATGGAAAACAAGCACTTTATGTGTTCATTTATCAAAAGACGTTTGTTATCATATCTCTCGCATAACAATTTCCATGCGAGGCTATAGTTATCCGATGAGACACTGACTGAGTTTATGACAGCGCTAGCCGGCCCTTCCAAGTACGTCTTGAGGTAGTGAAACTTGTTAACGTCGTGAATCGTTTCATTGTTATGTACTAACGACACATATGTATCCCTGAATGACAACCATTTGTTCGCCTCACCATTAAAGGGCGTGATTTTAATTGGGGGCAATTTTAAATGACAGTCCGGACGACTTTTGTTAGATGAAGATTCTAATTTATTTTTATTTTCGAAAAAATCGATTAATGACTGAGCTTCGGCCGATAAACGAAAAAATATATTTTCATTAAATTCGCGTTCTTGCATTTGTTTTGAGGTATCTTCATCCAACATTTCAATCTGCGATTGAATATCATCAAAAGTGCATGATAAATCACGTATCTTGCTTAAGCGCAAGCGCAATTCATTCACCTGTACTAAACTAATTTCTTTACACTCTAACAAAGGTTTTAAATATTTTTCAAACAATGTTACACGAGCCTTAATATGTCCCCTTTGTTTGATAAGTTCCTTTACGTCACTCATAATGACGGTGCAATATTTAAATATTATAACGCTTCACGTATATATAACGAATCAGATGTTAATAACTACGATGTTAAGAATTAAATAAACCGCGAAACACCATATAACACAAGCTATTTGTACAAACAACAATTTTAAGAATAATTTTATTAACAAAGAATTTTATATTATGTACCGATATCATAAAAAAGTTGACGGTGGGCGAAAAATAAATTTATCATATAAATTTATCATATAAATTTTACTCACGCGAGTTGAAGCAAAAAAGGATATATAAGTAGAAAGGATGGATGCACTTCCCTCGGAAACAGTGGCTGCAGCTGGCTGCTGGCGAATTCTCGAAGGATAGCTCCGCCCGTGATATTTTCGTGATGACGTAACAACAGTTTGGCTGCGAGTCCGTTCCAATTCGAAGTTGATCACGTCGGGGTCACCAAAATGAGTGCGCAGGTTACAAGTAAACGAAGACTGACTTAATGCTATTTATTTTATATAGATTACACATATGGATGTTGCACGTTCAATGCTTCGTTACGCACTGATGATCTTGACCGAGTCCCGCGTTCTCGCGTCGTAGCTAATAGTTTATATGAGGCGTTTACATTCTTGGTAATTGGCTCCAACAATATTTTTTAAGCATGTATGATATATTATTGATTATTAACGTGAACGCCTCTGTTAGTTAACATACTGTATAACCTTTTTAATATTAGATTAAATCAATGAAAATATCTGGGTATGTAATATTATTAATATAAGTGTTTACCTGTACTGTGGTGCTCTGGTCACTGAAGGGAGAGTTGAAGAACGTGCATATAGTGTGCATGAGGACGTCCGTCACGTAGTTCACCCACGCCTGCTTGGAGCTGGCCGACGGGCGGACCGGCGACGACGACGGACCTGCGAAAATAGACCTTAAGACATGAGGCATAAGAACGCTATTACTATGAATGTGTTTGGATGTTATCCAGGAAGTATAGTATAATAATGATTCAGACATATGTTTTAAATATAGGTATGAGGACTTGAGCATCTAAACGTCTGAGAAGTGACGTTCCGAATTACAGAGTCGAATAAATTTTTTCACTATATATTTTATATTTTATTTTCATAAAGACCTTATAAACTTGGTTCTAGATCAAGCAATTATTATGAATGTGTTTGAAAAAATTTTCAGAGATTTTACTAAATAATGAGTCATAAAATAAATTAAATATATGAGTATCTCTGAAACGTCGAATACTATTCGTCTGGATAATTGTTGTCACTGTATATGTTATATCTGTATATGTTAAGTCAGTGGTGGCCTATTGGTTAAAAGGCCCGCCTCTAATTCACGACGGCGCGGTTTCGATCCTGGTCCAGGCAAGTACCAATGTGATTTTTCCGAGTTATATGTGCTTTCTAAGAATATTTAGACATCACTGATTAATGCTGATTCCCAAAGAGGGTTGATATCAGGCAGGCGGCCGGTCGTAAAAACAATTAGCCAAAACTATTCACAACATGTAAGGCAGGCAGACCCTGGCTAAAGCTGGGAAATTGCCAGGTAGAAGAAGAAGATATCTGACCGGGCGCGGGCAGGGCGGCGTGCGGCTGCAGTATGGCCAGCATGTCCTGCAAGAAGGACAGCTCGAACAGGTCCCACATGTAGTTGCTGGAGTAGATCTCCTTCATCTCCACCTCCGTGTCTATGTAGCAGTGGTTCAGGAAGCCCACGTACGCCTCTTTTACCTTCACAGACAATTAATATCATATATACAGGGCGACTGGTGAATTACTATCAATATTTAAGGAGAATACTCGGTACATGATTCTCATTCGAATTATGTAAAAAAAATAGGCACTTAATTTTTGACAAAATTTCCGTATAAATAAATAAAGTGTTGACACGTTCCAATTGTTTCAAGTGTGGACGCGTGCGGCGGCGTGTTGATAGAACACCACGCCGCCGCACGCGTATGTGTGAGTGTATATGTATACCTAATCTGTAGGGTGTTCACGCGATGCGTAATTTATTACATAACTTTTGGTTAACTTTACTTAGAAGTTTATTAATATTTATGTTATATTAATTTTTATTTTGTCATATATGATCGTCAAATATCACGTCCTCAAGTATCGATAGTAATTCACCAGTCACCCTATATATTGTTTACGATAACTTCTGAGCATTCTCATTCATTTAATATTAAGCTTAGTTTGTACAAGCTAATGGAGGTAAATAATAAAATTAATTCAATTTGATATTTCAATAAATAATTATCCAATGTTCGGTCTTGATTTATATTTTTGCGGGTAAGTTGTGATTAAGTATTAAATATTAATAACTACCAAAATTCCAGCTGAATTTATATTCTTTACAAACAATCGTGTGTATGAATGGATGAATGAATGAATGGATGTATTTAATATATGTATAAGTATGGTTAACCTCTGGTATACAGTCAGGGTGTGTGATCATGGCCACTATGTCGTCTAGTGGCAGCAGACTGTGACACTTGATCTCCGTGTACACGTTCTTCCCGAGGGTACAGCACGTTAACAGCTTTATGAGGTCTATATGGTACCTGGATCAAATACATACATAAATATTATTAGTTATATGCAATATTAAGTGGACATTTATATTAGATTGTCAAAGAAGCTATCTATAAACCTTTTTTACATATATATGTTATGCTGTTACATATATATGTTATGCTGTTGTACCTTAATAATCTATACAAATTCGACTAATAAAAATTGGGTTGGTTAATTTTGTTTTCACACTTTTCGTAACTAATGTATATTTATTTTATAATAAATTCTTTTTAAATGCCAGAGCAAGAATATAAACTTTGAAATGATCATATAATTGTAAATATATTACGTGAGAGCTTCAGGCATCTCTCCCGTCTGTTTGTACTCTCTCATCATTTTGATGAAGTAGTTGAAGAGTACTTTATCATTGTAGAACACCAGCACGTCCTCGCCGGCATTCACCATCTATAATGAAACATGAAATACCTTCAAATATATGTATTATATGTACCTTAGTACAAGTATGCGTCGTTCAACTAAATACTGAGCGTATCCGAGTTTCCATTCATAAACTCAAATGATAGAATAGATATTTATTAACGAAGATAGGTTTATTAATGAATTATAGAGAATTATTAGTGTTTCGATTGACGACATAAACATGTCATAAGTTTAATATTATTACTGAAAATAGAATTTTATGTTAGGTAATATTTGATAGAGAAAGGAGCTCTAAAAATGGAGGTGAGCGTTTAACGCTTGTTAAAGAGGGACCCTTAAACCTACACCTGGGTCACAAGTTCCAGGCACTATTGAAGCTCCTCTCACTACAAGGATAGACCAAGTGAAATTATGGAATTCTAAGAATTTTCGTCTCTTTTAAAACCATGCATGCTATGATGGGTGAAGGAAGTGCTTACTTCTTGCATGACCAGGTCCTGGCTCCTCCGTATGTGGTGTGGTCCCGCTCGTACTATAGTTCTCAAAAACTTGAGGTAGGCGGGTCTTCGTCCGCGGGATTCGATACAGTGTACGAAGTGCGCGGCGACCTTCTCGTTCCCTTCGTGAGCACACAGAGCTGCGTTCTCTTCAAATATCGAGCACACGGTTTGGGCTTCTCGGATCTGAAATTTATATGAAAAGTTGTCTAAATAAATCTATCGAGATGCTTTGATTGCTGGCTATACTAAAATTGCAAAACAATAATTTATCGCTATCCCTACTAATATTATAAATGCGAAAGTAACTCTGTCTGTCTGTCTGTTACGCTTTCACGCCTAAACCACTGAACTGATTTTAATGAAATTTGCTACAGAGATAGAGTTGACCTTGGGAAAGAACGTAGGATAGTTTTTATCCCACACTTTCGAAAGGTTCTCTTGGAAACGCGATATAACCGAACTCCATGCGGGCGAAGCTGCGGGCGGAAAACTAGTGGTATATATACGATATTGAACAAAATAACAATACATCTGTTTATATATAATAGTATATTCTTACTCCAGCATTGAGGAACAGGTCCAGGTGTTTGTGTAGTATGGCCTGGTTCTGTGTGTTCCCGTGACAGAAGTGCTGGAGGAACTCGTGCGCCAGGTCCAGCAGCTCGTCCATAGCTGCGTCGTCCTCATCGTGTGGCACCTGGGAAATAATTTACATTAATATGAAGCAGAAAAGAAATAAATTGCTTTGTAAATAATCTCAAATCATTAACGTATCTAGAGTGTATATCTCTGGAAACAGAGTTATATGAGCAACCATAGCTTTTAAGTGGGAAGATAAGGGAAAAACTTAAAAAGTAATAACATTTACTTTTCCTGCACTTCAACATTTTAGTATTATTGATTTTAACATTAAAGCAAGGAGCTTATACTTGTATGAAAATCCAAATATAAAGAAAAATCTTCGACGTGAGTAGGATTCAAACCTGCCACCCTCGAAAATGATACATTATAGTTGTGATATATACATATATATAGGTTTAAATCCTGCTCCTATCGAAATATTGTTAGTACAATGAATATATTTCAGTTTTAGCTCCTCCTCCACCCACCTGCAGCAGGTCCAGCACTACATTATGTACTCCTATATTCCTCAGCAGTCTCTGTTCGTGTCTCCGCGGTCTCGAGTCGCCCCCCTCCCTTGCTGTGTTGCCCTGGGTGCAGTACTTGATCATTCGTTCCAGGATCTGTTTTATACAATGTTTAAATAAGTAAAGCTAATAATCATATTATCAATAAAATATTTTAATATCTTATGAAATTTCAAAAAAAAAAACAACTAGAACTTCTGTATTACCAATTATGAATTAACGATAGTATATTACAATAAAATTACTGAGATTTGAACTTATAACTTGTTCGATACGGTTTCTAAGACACTATGGCGACTGAGCTACTGTCTCTTTATTAAAGTTGACGAATAAAGTTTTAAATCAATTAATCATACGTATTGAGTAAGAGATTGAAGCGTCAATTTTAATGAAACATTGATATAAATGCAACTTAAGTCATCCACTGACTTAAGTGGCCTAGTGGTTAAAAGGCCCGCTTCTCATGCTCGAGGGCGTGGGTGCGATCCTGGCTCTGGCAAGTACCAATGTGATTTTTCCGAGTTATATGTACTTTCTAAGAGTATATAGACATCACTGATTAATGCATTCCCAAATAGGGTTGATGTAAGGCAGGCGGCCGGTCGTAAAACAATTAGCCAAAACTATTCACAACATGCAAGGCAGAACCTGGCTAAAAGCTGGGAAATTGTCGGGTAGAAGATTGATATAAATGCAATATTTTTTGTACCTCTTTAATCTTATCGTATTCCTGTCGATCTCCTCTCGGGGCTCGCACGTTGTCTAAGGACGCGTTTCGTTCCAACACTGCTCCGCCGGGACCAACAGCGCCTTTTATGTCTGGAATAGTATTGATTTAAATATATTTAATAATATTATATAATTTTTGAACAATATTCTTTCATCTACAGGTGATACTAATAATTATCTACAAGTTATACAGTCCTAAGTATGTAGATACCACTATTTCATGATGTATGAATGAATGCTTGTTTTTTTTGTTTTGTTTTAAGTATAGAAAATTTATAAAATATCTTTGAACTGCAGATCATATATATTGAATAATTTTTGCTTGTATATGTAAGACAATTGGAAGGAGTTGAAGTTTTGAATTTATTAATATATATACTCTTTATTGCACTGAATAATTAACAAGGTTATTTTATAAACATAATTATTGTGTACAATTAATTTGATAACTATATTAAATTCTCACCGCTGTGATCATCTATAATCCCGGCGCGTCCCTTATTAAACACCCATAGTTCTGACTTCTCAACGCTCTGTCTCAGTATGTCCAGGTCGGCCTTGATCTGTTTGTAGGACTCCACGTCTGCGTCAGACACTAACAGTTGGACCTGAACGAAATATAACGATATATATTATATTATAGTCTACAAAGATTACATTAAAATCTCACAGATATGATGAGAAACTAAGTAGGATCTCGTTTTGTTGACATCATTACTTGTATTTATGACTTATCTTGTAAAATATTTTATATGCTAAAGTATGGTGATAAAATAACTAAACCTACTAATATTTTAATTGCGAAAGTTTGTGTGTGTGTATGTTTGTTACTTCTTCACGCTCAAACGGCTGAACCGATTTTGATAAAATTTTGTATACAGGAAGCTGACGTCCAGGAATAACACATAGGCTACTTTACATGCCGGAAATCTGCGGGTAACACCGCGAAGCGCAGCTAGTTAATTTATAAAGCGGACCTGCTTAAAAGCAGCCAAAACTTCTTGTCTCTGACTGAAATGACGGAATAGCAGCGCTAGGGCTCCTGAGACGAGACTGGCCGAAGCACCCTGGGAACACAGCTGCAGCAGAACTCTCAACACCATACGACCGCCGCAAGCATCCAGGTCTAAACCGTCTCTGAAATTTAAACCTTATTGTATCAATATTAAGGTTTAATATATAATGTCATATGAGAAAATCACAAATCACAATAGGATTATAAGCGTTATGCCTAAAAAAGAATCCCTTTTCGGATAAACGGATTCTTCTGAATCAAAATAAACAAAGGTTAGAATTATAAAGAAAACACTTCACAAAAACTGAAATCTTTCCGATAATAATAGGATGTGGATTTTATTGTAATAGCTGTAAAGTAAAATATCGCCTGCTGCGCTTGGAGAGGTAACACTAGTTAGTCCTAGTAATGAGGATTTTATTTCTCGCAAAAAATTTTAAAGCTTCTTGGAACAAAGCATGCGTAGCGTACAATCTATTTTATTCTAACATTTCCTTAATTGTACGAAATCCATTTCAGAATCTCGTAATGGGAACGATTCAATACTTATTTGGTCGGATAGTTAAGTTAAGGAAACACAGAGAAATATCTTAATATGTTCACATATATAAGCAAAGATATCATAGCATCATCCATGCGGTTAGTGGCTGTACTTTCATCATGCATCATGCAATAGATTTCAATCTTACTAACAAATCTACATTTTTTGGAAGACAGTTGTCAGGCACAGTCTGAATTGCTCTGAAATAATTATTAATTTATTAATACCAATCGCCAGTATGACGAAATAAGAATCACATATTTTTCTTATCTCAAAGTGCTTTCTACGTTTTTATTTCCTAATGGTAGATAAACCTATAAGAGAATAATTAGAGCTAATTCTAATTTATACAGTGTGAAAAAGATTAATATGTAATTGTTAAATAGAAGCAAGAAGTGTCCGTAGTATACTCATAAAAGTAGTAACTATTAAGAAATAGTTGAAAAAAATTCTACAGACCGCATGTTACTATCAACCCGCCACCGATTAGTTACAATAGTACAACCGACATCTACATGAAATTATATAACACCATGTGTGAGCATTGCCAACGAAACGAGATAAATTTTATAAACATTTTAATATAATGATACTGAACTGAATAAAATCACATATGTATGTGATTAAATTTATACATGTTTGACTAAAAATTAAATTTGAATGACTTTCATATACAATGATATTTGTATTTGTATCTCGCCTAGTCGGTGTTGGTATGTATGTATGTATTTGTGTGTCATACCGACAGCTGAAGATCCCCTCGGCCTGTAGTCCTATGGCCTCCACGTCCACTCGACCGAGAGCGTCCGGAGACGAGGTCTCGAAGGCCTTCTTGAAGATCGACAGGAGACAGCTGATGCGGTAGTCCAAACGAACGTCCAGGATAAACTGTGGAGAACATTTCTTGTATTTTATTTGGGTTTCCAAGAAAAGTTAGTTCAGACATTCAATAAAGATTTTGAATAACAGAGATCTATGACTTTCGTGAGTATTCATTTAAATAAACCAATATTTTAGTATTACAACATTAAATTTTATCATAAAAAAGTTACTTTCATTAAAACATTTAGATCAGTATATAAACATAATTACATAAGAATTAGAGTATAACTTAATTGTTAAGAGCGCGTTTGCTTTGACTATGTTTGTCGGTTGTTGTAATATCTCCAGAACTGTTATTAGTATGGTACCTGCAGTATTTCTATAATCTTCAGTTTGGTCTCCATCACTAGTGGATGTTTTCGAGCCAGGGCCAAGGCTGACGGACTCCTCGCCGGCCCTCCGCCCACCACCTGCTAATAGATTAAACATTTTGATTATTTCGATAGCCTATACTGAGTCTTGATTTATCCTTTATAGTTTATAGTATAATAATAATCACTTAAATACATATTTTTCTAAATCATACATTTCTGTGTACAATACTAAACAATTGTAAATCACAGTAAGAAACAAGTTTTTTATGGAGTATTGTGATCAAAAATGTAGAACTTCGAAGATAAAATTCTTTTTACTGTACTTTCAAACCAATCAAATATTATCGGAATAGTGTATCAATATGTAATTGGTTGACTTTAATATATATTTTTTATGTGTTTTCTGTATATATTTACATTTAATGCTCCAGGTCCGAGTGTGATGGAGGTCATGACTGCTCCCATGTCGCCAATACTCCGGAGAACTCCCCCCTCCGCTACAACAAACACATAAATCTTGGTTTGACATACATATATACATTTATATGTTCTACCTTATTATAACTATTAGAAGTAAGATTTTAACAAAATGTATTTGGTTCCATGGTTACTTTATATAACTAATAGTCATTCAGTATTCTGTATCTCCTCACTACATTTTAATTTGAAAAAATATTTTACTTAAACTGGCGGGGAAAAGATGACAGATTCCAAATTTAAAATATAACAATATCTTTGGCCGGACCAAATATGTGAAATAATTTTCAAAAGTTATTCTGTACTATACTACTCACAGATCTTCTTTTCATTTTCCTCAGCTGCATGTAACATTAAGTTTTTAAAATAAACATAAATTGAATATTATACAATAAACATATTGAATAATTTTTTTATGTTTTTCATATTTATTTTAGAATATACGTACATGTTTATAAATAACGTATGTATACATTTCTTGTTTAGTTTATATTTAATATAACTCACATTCAACTTCTCCAGCGAGCGCGTTCGTTTCGTTCAGTAGATCGATCGCAGTCACACAGTCAAGAATACTTAATAGGGTTTTCGTCAGCCGAAGAAGATCGCTGAAGCTGTGTTCAATTAAAAAATTAGCGACAAATTTATATTATGTATGGAAAAATATAGATTTATGGATAAATGATGTGGACTTCAGAGGTCATGGTATTATAATTCTTTAATATAATTATCTGCACAATATTAACGCTCTTAAACTATAGCCTCTCTTAGTTGTATTTTCACTAACATTATCTTGCTCTATATAAGCAAAGTAATATTTTTTCGATATCAATACGTATTTTAACAAATTGCTAGTATTTTTTTGGTAGTGCTAGCGCCAGTACTATCGTTCCGGAGACTAAAACGTATATACTAGAAGTCAGTTTATTGAAAAATATATATACGATTTAGTTTACTACTGATCAATTTCTTACCTATAAAACCCAAAGTATATCAATTCTCTAGCCAGTTTAACGACCTCAAAGGTCAGTTTATTCTGGTCGTGGTCGCTCAAGTACCACGTTCTAGTCACGTCTTTACACAAGTAGTCCTCAACGAAGTCTATCGTTGACTCGAACTGCTTCTTCACTTTTTCCCTGGTCGCGTCCTGACCGCCTTTCACGCATTGATAGCTGTGGCAGAATTAATTAATGATTAATGTTATGAAAATAATTGATATCATACATGTATTTATCGTAGTGTCATTGTGTGTGCCGTGTATGTGTGAATGTGTGTTTTTCTCAGTGGTGTTTTCGAGCTGGAACGCTCGAAAGATGGTTAAATGAAAGATGGTTAAATTCCGACGATTCAGATGGTTGAATTAGTTAACTTATTGAAAAATAAAATTACAGGTTTTTGTTTACACATAATCAGTTTCGTAAGGATTTTCGTTTCCTTTCCTTTATATAGGGCCGATCCTGGCCTGAAATTAGGAGAAATCCTCCTCCCCCCTTTTATATATATGCATTCCAGTAAAAGACAAATTAGCACAACATCACTGGTCTTTCTACATGTGAGGTGTATGTGTGTACGTGTATATGTGTGTACGTGTATAAGTGTGTGTGTGTGTGTGTGTACCGACTCGTTCACTCGTATGGTGGCAGCGACCTCTGCCCACAGCCTCGCGTACTTGACGGGCGTGACTGGCTCCTGAGGGTCGCGGTCCACGTGTAGGTGCAGCATGAGGCGGCAGAAGGACGCGCGGACCTCGTGAGACAACACGGGGTTGGACATGCATCTGGAGATCATGTTATATTGGTTAATGAAATCTGAGACTTTAGATAGTATTCATTTAAATGATACTAATGTTTCCGGATTATTACGCGTATTTTATGAAATTCCGACGTTTCGGTAGTGATAAAAAATATTAGTTTCATTTAAATGTTGTATGTCATATTAGTTAGCATCGTGGACTATTAACACATGAATCATAACTGAATAGGTATCTGAATAAGTTTTATTATTTTGGTCATTTGAAAGATATTTCTACGTTTTAAAGATATTTCATGATGACTTCATTTTCAAGACATGTCGTAGTTTCGCTATGATTACGAAGTTTATGACAAAAATTATATTATTATTTGGGTAAATTAGCTCTTTATTACAATCGTTTACCAAAAAAAAATTGTATCAAAGTACGATTTTCGAGTGATTAAAAAAAGTAGTTAGTATTCAAATAAATGTATTGTTACTTTTAAGTACTGACATAGGAAACTAAAAATGACTATCAATAATTCTAAACTATATGAACATGATTTAACTTACTTGAGTATAAGATCAATGTGCAGTTGGTGTGATAGACTGTTCAATGCCAGGTACTGTCTGTTGAGACACATGTTCGAGAACAGGTCGAGTTGATGTCGGTAGTAGTCTAAAATAGCGGCCGCTTCACTACGGGGGTCTGATGCTTGTTCAGCCAACGAGTTCAGTGACCGACACTCCTGAAAAATTAATATACGTTTAATTTATACCGAATCTTTAAATTCCCCAACGTATCCGGAGTGACGTAGAGCGATGTCATTTGGTTTGTTCCCTTTTATATGGGAAAGTATTTGTCAACACAACTTTGTAAATTGAATTTAACTTATTGAAGGTGTTTCATATGTAATTTAAAAGTGCTGACTTTATAAAACAAATATTGTCCTTAATGATTTTGTTAAAAAACTAAATATATATTTATATATCGGTATAATCTATGCTAATATGTATTAAAAAGCTGAAGAGTTTGTTTGTTTGAAAGCGCTAATCTCCGAAACTACTGGTTCGAATTGAATAATTCTTTTTGTGTTGGATAATCCAGTTATCGAGGAAGACTGTGGGCTATATAACATCACGCTACGACCAATAGGAGCAAAGATATAGTGGTAAATGTGTAAAAAACGGGAGAAATAATTGCATCTTTGAAGCCTTCCGTTGCATGTGCCGTGAAAACGGTTCAAGATACACAAAAAATATGTATTAAAGAATAATAGCTCTTTTAATGAACTAAAAAACACAGTATATGTCTATCTTTTAAGATTAACTCACAAAAACCGTTTTTATGGTACCTAATTTGGTCGAAATAATTTGTTTAAGTTGTATCAACGTAATAATATTAATCTTTATTCAAATAAACAAATAAATATGTTGTTGGTTAAGAGTACTTCATTGTGAATTAAAAAAAAAACATAGGTGTTATCCTGAAAATTCTACGGGAACTCGACCATTCCGAAAACCCCGCAAGAACGGGAACTATGTGGGAAGAACCAAAAATCTGCCGGAAGTCACTATTCCACGCGGACGAAGTCGCGGCAAAAGCTAGTCTTATATATAAAATTCTCGTGTCGCGGTGTTAGACAGAGAACTCATCCGAAACGATTGGACCGATTTTTATGAAATTTTGTGAGCATATTGACTAGGTCTGAGAATCGGCTGAGGACCCGGACTCCCCGTGTCTGCCATCCCGCTACAACAAGGTCCTCGAGTCGGATGACGTGTCGTACCATCCTGGCACGTCTCTGGATGACTCTGCAAACCCATACTACTTTGGGTTCGTGACCGGTAAGCCATACCTGGAGGCCGCGGGCTGGGCGAAAGCGTTACCGCGGCCTCTTTCCACCTTTTGTGGCGAGGAGTAAGTCCGCTGGTTTTTTAGTGGATAAACTGGGTGCTTAAACCTAGGAGTCCCACATAACCACATCTGCCTACCCCGGGTAGAGTGGTATGCGAAAAGCATTTTTCCAGCGATAACAAAAAAAAAGGTCTGATAATCGGCTAACATCTATTTTTCATACCACTAATTCATGAGGGTTATTCACCCTTATTTTTTTGTTTTTATATTTTTATAATGTAGCATTAAAGAATACATACAACCCAAAAACAAATCTTTTTTATCACCAACCCCTATTTTTTTATATGGAAAAACAACGTTTGCCGGGTCAGCTAGTACTTCTATGAAACACTTTGAAGCTTTTCTAAATGAACGGTACTTTATAGTCACGATACATGATAAAAAAGTATATTATGTATGCTGGTGTAGGATAGTTTTTGTTTTAGGTCGGATATGCCTGCATGAACTCAAATGATAAAGGCAAACATTGACGATGTTAACGTTTAAGGCCTATCTTCAATAACACAAGGTAATATTTATTCTCCTCGCTCATACAATTATACCATGTCACACGAACCTGTTTATTATTCCAGTACAGCATCACTTCCCCACCGTCTCCGTCGCTCGAGTCATCTGGCACTAACCTGTGTAATGATTCATTTATTACACTTCTATGGATATTATCATTATTCTAATACAGGACATAATATACTACAACAATTACAACAATATTCTATTAGTAAAAAGCAGTTATATTTTTAACTCACATTTTATTTCCAAAGATTAAATAGTTGCTTGTTATATATTAATTGATTGATAGTATTGACATTTTAAACAATAACCTAAATCTATTTAAGAAAAACAATTGGTTTCAATTAACAGCCAATAATAGTGATTAAATCTATTTTCTTATCCATTATTTAGTTCCTCACTTCACCAGTTTATAATTTCATTTTATTTTATTTTTTATTGCTGTAACTTGTTCATATTTTTCTGTGTAAAATATTCTTTCTATTTATTGTAAATGTCTTTTCTTATATGTATACAATGTATTTTTAAGTGCTGATGTATTTTTGTTTTTATAAGTGACATATTTAGTCTATAATGTGTTCACATAGTTGTTAGGCTATAACTCAGCTTATTTATAATGTTTACTTATCAATTAATAGTATCTTTAGTTATAATCTGTTCTGTGAACCGTAAATAAATGCGGTACCTGGTCTCTATGAGTATATCAGCATTGTTAACACACAACACACTCTTGCAGATGAGTTCCTGTGTGACAGCGATGGCCTTCTTGTTGGAGATGCACAGGTCACTGAGGTAGTCCAGGAAGCGAGACTGCCAGGTCTTCATGTTCTTACGGACTAGACCTGGAACGAGATACAGGAAGTGCTGTATATATATATGGCTTTCGCGAGTATTATTACAAATAAACTAATATTGTATTAGTTTCAAAATTATAAGAAATATTCTCATCTCGTCTGCCCGTTATCACGTTTTCCGTATTATAACAGAATTTTCCGCAGTATGTAGTTTTAAAAATATTAAAATAACGATTAATTAAATATCTGTGAATTGTTAGTTTCATTTAAATAATAAATATAAATATATATTTTTTATCAATATATAATCAAGCAGTCAGGCAGACCCTGGCTAAAGCTGAGAAATTGCCAGGAAGAAGAAGTATACTTACCAACAAAGGTCTCTATCTCGGAGGCCGTGATGTGTTTCTCCAACAGCTTCCTGTTGTTGTGTAACAGTGCTGTTATCGTGTCTTCAGCCAGTATGTCGTAGCCGATCTGCTTCTGCATGAAGCTGAAGTGCTTCGCAATGTATTCCTGAAACGAAAACAAATTTAAAAACCCATAGAAATATAATGAACTCTCAGAAGCACCAATAATTATATTTAGAAGTATCTTTTATTAAAATATTAGTAACTTTTGGAAGACAAGCGACATTTTCAGTTGAATCCCTACTAATATTATAAATGCGAAAGTAACTCTGTCTGTCTGTCTGTTACGCTTTCACGCCTAAACCACTGAACTGATTTTAATGATATTTGGTATAGACATAGAGTTGACCTTGAGAAAGAACATAGGATAGTTTTTATCCCAGACTTTTGAAAGGTTCTCTTGGAAACGAGATACAACCGAACTCCACGCGGGCGAATCTGCGGACGGAAAGCTAATGAGTGTATAATTTACGTATTAATATCACTACTAACTTGGTTTTTCCTGTAATCTTGTTGACTAAGTCTCAGTATACGGTAGCAGAGTCTGAAGATGAATTTGTAAGGCGCGTACCGTGGATCATACAGCTCCTCGATCTTAAGGAATGGTTCACCTTTAGGTGATTCTTGAAACGGACTCTGGAAATAAATACATAATGTATCAAACAGACACGAACTCATAGTAATAATTCAATCAATTGAGACGAAAATAATATTTTTAAAATTATACTACGCGTATTTTATTATTTTATAAACTACATACTTCCGATGTGTTGGTTATTTTGCAATTACGATGACGAGATGTGCATGTCTAATATATGTCAATACTTCAAATAATATTAATTTCATTTATATGAATATTCACGAAGGTCTTAGATATCGTCAATTGAGGCGAGTTAGTTATTAGACAAAATTATGTGTCAAGGTGAATGATTACTAAGTTTTCTTTAGAGCTTCTGAATAAGATTTTGATTCCTTGTGTATATTGATTGTAGTTTATAAATTCTAATATATAAGAGTACCTGCAGTATCATGAACAGTTGTCTCAGTATGTACTGCTCCCTCAACAGTTTCTGTCTGTCTCTGTTGGGATTCTCTACAACAAGTTCGAGGGCTTTCGACTTGTTGGGTTCGTTTTCAAAACCAGCTATAAAGTAAACTATGTCCTGGAGGAGACTCGTTAGGGCTCTGAAACGAATATTTAATTAATAATTATTAAAAAAACCTTTTTTTGGGGGTTAGTCATAGAAAATGGAATAGCAATATGTTGATAATATGTTTAGACACAGACAGTATTTTTATTATTAATAAATTCATAGAAATTATAGTAACTTTAGTTTATCAGTACGCATTTAATTAATTACATTTGTATTGAAGTATTTAGAGCGTAGGACTTTTACTACTTTTTATATGAATTAATGACTTCTTTATGGTATTTTAGGAGGTTACTATTAGGAAGTAAAAAGTTTAAAAAATATATAAATTGTTTGAATATCATTTACGGTATTTTCACTGTATCTCACAAGAATCAAATTACAAACAAGTGATATTTAGTATCTCCAAAATACTATAAGTATCGTAACACCCTGTATACTAACTTCATTTCGTTGGGCTCGATGTTCCCATGGTGTAGTTTGGTGGAGAGTGCTGAGAGGACCTTGCAGGCGTCGTTAGCGAAGTCCAGGTCTCGGACCTCGCTGGGCGAAACTGATATGAGGGCGAAGGCTTCCTTGTCCTCCTTCACTATAGAACAACCCACCTGGAAAAAAACATCAAGTTATTAAACCAGGCATTGAATTCTACGTACATTAAGGATATTTAAAGTTATTTAAACTTAAATCTCATAAGACGAAACCTCTAAGCGTCAAATGGATTGGATCCAATGGAAATATAAAATATATCTATATACATGCATAACTCTTTGCCTCTAAGTGTTGTAAATTCAAAATTTCTAAATATATGTATTTAAAAAACGATTGAGAACCCATATATTAGATGATTTCACTGATCTTGTTTAATATCACTACTGTTTATTATTTGTAATCTTAATTGTAGTTATAATTTTAAAATATCCTTTGTAAGCGAACTTTGTTCTTTTTGGAAATAAACTTCTTTAAACCTACATGTACATTTTTATATTCTTCGCTCAATTGAAGGAACAGATTTGTCCCAGGGTTATATATATATATAATTTTCGTTATTTTATTAAATAGCATATTTAATTTAAAATTAATACTATATTTACCTTTGACATAACAGGTTTCTCTTCCTCCTTATCAATGGGTATCGATGTTGAATGGACCCATGTGTGAGTGCATAGATGTTGTAATCTGAAAAGTGATGCATCAACTAAAGTATCATTATCGATAATTTACATTTAACGTACAAAATATATCGAAAAGTATCGTGCATATGGCCTAATTGTTAAAAGCAACTAAAACGCGATCTTTCGCAGGTTGCAGTTTAGAGGCCACCTTGTCTTAATGTTAAAAACGTAATCCATCCTTACATTTTCATACAATTTAATATTTTATTACTGTAGTAACTGTTATTATTATGTTCCATCTACCTGACATAGCTGCTTTGTGGTACGGGGGCGTCGGAGTGCGTCATAGTAGTAGGGTCTAACTCGAACAGCGTGGCGATCTCAGATGAATGTGGAACTGATACCAGCTGGTACGCTGGCTCGCCCTCCGCGTCCGGGTCTATAGCACCCTCCCTGGTTTAAATATATACTTCAGATATTATACATACTAGATAGAAAACAAAACGCTAACTATATTCCTTTAATGAATATAAAAGAGATACACAGAGATTGGTAAGTAACGAGCGGATGAGTTATTATAACAACAAGGAATTTATCCCTGAATAGAAACCTTTTTGATAAAATTTATTAAGATTATAATGATTAAAGATTTCAAAGTATTTTAGAAAATTGGATCGACATAAATGTATATAATAATGAAAAGGTAAAATAAATTGAGATCTAAAACTTCTACGAGTGTTCATTTAAATAAAAGTAATGTTTTCATTTTTGATTATTTTGAACTACATTTCCCTCAATTGAGTTGAGAATGCCGAGAGAGACATTCTCATCTCGTCTTCATGATCACGTTTGCTACAAAGTAATGGAAACCTGGAGTATGTAGTACAAAATAATAAACAACGTGTAATAATTCGAAAATATTAGTTTGATTTAATATATTGTGAGTGAAGTTCGGAGACATACACTAGTTTAGTACAGGCCTCCGCAGCCAAGTAGTGTCCTGTAGCGAGGTGTTTGAACCGGAAGATGGAATTCCAATGACCAGCTCCACCGCGACACGGGTCATGTTGAACCACCTGGAAAACAATTATAATTCATCATCATCAGCCTATCAGAGACCACTGCTGAGCTGCCTCTTCTCACATGGAGAAGGTTCGAACATTAATCACCACACTTGGTCAAGACGGGTTGGCGATTTCAAACTTATAATTTGTTAAGTCCAGGTTTCCTCACGATGTTTTCCTTCATCTGTCAGTGGTATCTAAATACTCTTAGAAAGTATATACGACTCGGAAAAATCACATTGGTACTTGCTAGGTTTCGAACCCGCGCCCTTATGCTCGGGAGGCGGATATTTAACCACTAGGCCATAATGACGCTAAATTATATTTATAGGTAAACAAATATTTACAAGGTTTTTTTCTAGGTCTAAGGACTTAAATTGTCAGTTGGTGATATACCAGCTGTCAATATCATTTTCATTACTATTTAAACTGAAACTTATTCATATAATAACTAACCTCAATTTCCCACAGCGCCTTACTACTAGTCGCAGCTGTAGCACTCGACCTTCCAGTAGTTCTGAGGAACACGTGATGTCTCCTTCTATATTCGTCCATAGTGAGGAACTTCTCTTGTTCAGCGTGGAAGAGCCGCACCACGTCACCTCCCTTCAGCATCTCCTCTTGATTCTCCTTGTGCTCCAAAAACAGAGTCACCTTCCACGACGTTGATGAATTAACAACATTCACCTGGAATATAAAAAAAATGTTTCAAATATTTTATACAATAATACTCGTTATAGGCTTGATTGTCATTTCACCTGATGGTCGGTGAAAATGAAGCTTGGGTTGTAAACGTGGTAACCTAGTATTTTTTCTTCCAATGCCTTCCTACCACGAAATCTCTTACAATCTCTCAAGGAATATGGAAATGAAGTTGCAGATCGTAATTGTACTCAGTTATAATTTGTTCCAATGCCCTCCTACCTACGAGGTCTTAAGGACTAATATAATTAAGGAATAATAAATATCTCAGAAATTTTTGTTTTTCCACCTACCACGAGATCAGAGAAGGTTGTAAAACTATTATCCTAGTAACAATTTCTACGAATACCCTCGTACCACGAGATCTACCATATCGCTCTCTGTACCAAGTAGTCCATGATATATAATTCCCTACCTCCATACATCCAGCGTTGTCGGGTAGCTCGTGGTGAGATGACACGTGTAACACCTGCTGCCCCGCGTTCACGGGGTTCAGGATTACCTTATCACCTACCACCACGTTGTCACCTGGTTAACATAACACTATATTAATGAGATATAAATATGTATGTATATAAGAGAGTATGTAATAAAGTCGTGTAGTACATCCGAAAAACATTAAATTCATTTAAAAGAATACTATTATTAGTATTACAATAGGATGAGGAAAAATAGATGACATAAGTAATTTCTGGACTGAATTTATTATTATTAAACGTGAACTTTTAGGTATAGCAGACTTTAGGTTATACTTAAATAAAAGTAGGACGATCAAAAGTTATTGTCACGATGGCTTGTTTGGAATGCGGTAAACTAAGTCAACGATTCGATTCCCGATCGTGATGAGAATATATGCTTATGTAGTATAAAAGACAAACAAACCCGTGGATCGCAGTTTATAGAACGGTATGACGTAGAACCATGATCCTTCGTTACCGTTCGCGTCAAGATGCACTCGCATTGCATTTTTCTCTAGCAACGCCGGCAATCTTTTGTTCACCTGAAAAATTACAACAAATATTTGTAAGTAAGAAATAGTTAACTTATTTTATTTGGTGCTTTTATGATTTTACATTTACTCTCCGTTTGTACCGACAGACGAGGTATAAGTGTCTGGAACACTACTGAGATGTCGCTAAATATGTATTTTGAAACTATAAAAATAATAACTGAAAATTTACAAACATATTAAGTAACTATCTTTCTTTGACAGCATTAAGTGTATAAAATGGTCAGATGAAACACAATTTTTTAAATGTATATCAAAAATCATAGATACCATCTCGGTAACAATCAATCAAGTAAAGAGGTTAAATGAAAACATAGCTAGCAATATTATAATAAACATACACGCATAAATACGTTATATCATATGAAACAGCTGTCATACATATGTGTGTGTGGTCATATGTATATATGTGTGTGTGTGTGTGTACTCACAGTCAAGTACTTGTTGGACTTAACATGTAACAGCTGTACCACGCTACCGTACTGCACAACGGTACCCAACAGCTTTTTATTCTCCAAATCGTTCTGTTTCTTCTCTATCTCTGCTGCATGCTAGAATATTGTGATAGAAGAATTGTTATCAGCTAGTCTTTTTATACATTGAAAGGTACAATGTTGTTTTCCTGTTTATACCAATCAAAACATAAAACAATTATGTTATTTTAGTTATACTAAAATTGAGATCTAAGACAATAGGATAGGATAGGATCAACAATTTAACTTGCCATGTAAAGCTCAAAAGACTGTGAAATTTCTTGAAATATATAAACTCGTATGAACGCAAAGGATCTATTACAGTTGGATTAAAAAAAAAACATATTATTCTATGGAAATAAGGATTATACGTATACGTAATACGTAGTATATTAATAATATAAACAAATGACTAACAATTGAAGCTGGAAAAAAGGAATGATATTTCAGAAATACAAATTCATTCTCAATGTCGCGGTCGGTCTGAAAGAATTTATGCTTTCTAAAACCTTTTAAGTCTGCCAACCATGAATAGTCGATTTGTTCATAACAATTTTCGAATGTATAAGTAATGAGACTAGGATTACGGGAGTACGCCAGTAAGAATTCAGTTTTTTGGTCTTGGTATGAATTATGAGGAAACACGTTTTTGGTGAGAATGACTGTGAAAGAAATCATCGCAATAAGTCTTTATGTAGGGCTTAAGTGTGCTCAGGGTTGGAACTAAAAATTTATATCCACTATTTCCACATCAAAGCAGAAAGTAATATGAACAACCCTTTGAATTTAAATAATCAATAAAAAAATACTACGAATACAGTGTGGCAAAGACAGATATTTGTGACATAACATTCCTCTTTATTTGAAATAGGTAAAAATTTATGACAAATTCCTTAAGGGCAACTAGGTACATATTTCTTTGTCAAGGGTCAACATCTGTAACATCAGATCTAATTACAGTTATGTTTCAATATATTCGTTCCACAACCGAAAAATCTTGAACCCTATAACCACACGTCATAGTATAATAGACGAAACATACCATACACATAAAAATCTAGTAATAGTTTTGGACTATTTTTATTTATTTGGCGAGAAACACCATCAAACAGTGGTTACACTAAATGATAACATAGAAGTCTCTTTAAGATCATTGCACTGTTTTTTCCGGATAAGGCACTTTTTTGATGTCTGCAATAATCCGAATAATTGTCCATTCGGAAAATACTATTTAGGAACAGATCTTCATAACGAGCACATGAAGTTTAAATTCAATCTCAATTTAAAGATTTTCTATAATATTTGTATTATGTTTTATATGACTTACAAAAAAAGAGATTTATTTGTATAAGACTTATGTATAATTCTTGCTTTTATAGCAAAACTTTCGAAATCCGTCTCTCACCCAACAAATATAATAGTGTTTTATTTGTTACCCAAATATTAATGATAATACGCTAAGAAGTCTGTCTATAAATAATTAAATCCAAAGATCCATTAATGTGTCTCATTTTATACTGGGAGTCTGCTCACCAGAATACTAAAGAAATATTGTCGAAGAATAATGACCGCATTCATCAAATTGATAGCATTGAATTTATTGTAGAAGATGTTTAATATACTTGGTGTATATATATATAGACTTACTAGCTTTCCGCCCGCAGCTTCGCCGCGTGGAGTTCGGTTATATCGCGTTTCCAAGAGAACCTTTCAAAAGTCTGGGATAAAAACTATCCTATGTTCTTTCTCAAGGTCAACTCTATCTCTGTACCGAATTTCATTAAAATCAGTTCAGTGGTTTAGGCGTGAAAGCGTAGCAGACAGACAGACAGACAGACAGACAGACAGAGTTACTTTCGCATTTATAATATTAGTAAGGATACGGTATACTAACCTATGTCTGCGACTATCGCTGTGTGGATTTCGTAATTTAATTTTAGTTTAACAAAAATGTTTTTAATGAAATATTTAAGTAGATTTAACTCCATAGAAACAATTATTAAGCATATTTAATTCTGATGTAAGAGAAATATTAATTTAGATTCTTGAATAGAAACTAAGTGGTTTTTCTATGGAAAGCTAAATAATATCAATACTTTTTTTGTTATATTAAGACAACTGTTCTCGATACTTTCACAATATAATTGATTAAAGTAAAAGCTGAATAAAATAGAAAATACTAACGGATTAAATTATTTAATCATTTTTATGTCTCTCAATAAATAAGTATATAATACGTATTTTGTTGTTTTATATACTAAATAAAGTAACAAATATTTATAGTATTTTTGTATATAAGACAATAAAATTATTAAAATCACAGCCAAAGCCACGGTATTCAGTTATATCGTTTATTTATATAAAATATAGAGGAAGTTTTAATTGAGATATATTTTTTTATATATTTAATTTATAAACATCTCAACGTATAAATTGTCTCGTTGATAGAATATTTCATTCCTCATAGTCATAAATCCAGATGGTAGAGGATGGTAGCTATTTTTGAACGCCGATGCGATATATAGGTATATATTTTCATTAGATATTTTTTCTCGGTAATACTAGAATCTACACTGGGATATGCCTCCTTTTAGAATAATATTTAAGCCTGTATAAATCATTCCAAAAATATATATCTTTGTAGGAAACTTATGATAAGTTCCGTTGCGTGTAGTGCATAGAAAAAAGTTTTAAAATGCAGAGCAAATCCTGGAAATAATAACTACTTATCATACATAAGTCTTAACTTGGTGTGGTGTAATATCAATGTGGTTTTATCAATTATATTGAAGCTTAATAAATAATAGGTATCCTATAAGTAAGCATATTGCCTGGAATCTAGACTTTAGACTAAGACTAGGTTAATACATTAAATAGTAAATATGTACATTATAATTGAAATATAGTATGCTAAGAACACAATGATATCTAAGACATTCGTAAGTATTCATTTTCTTTTGCGTGTATTCAAGTAAACGAAACGTCGTAAGTATGTAGTTTAAAATAATAATAAACGCCTAGTTATCCCAAAATATTACTTTTATTTAATATGCAAAGTCTATATTTTTATTTTTTTATTATTTATGTTATAATAAAAGGATTCATCAACTACTTGTAACGCTCATCGTAATTGGTTTATATGTAGATATGTATTCGAAAACAATTCTCCATACTCGCTTAAAGTAATCGCAGGAAACTATGTATTGTAAATGACTGGATTTTTATTTAAGACAAATATTTAATATTGAGGTGGCTTAGAAAATAAGTTTAGGTCATTTTTCTCATTTCTAGATCTCTAATGATTTGAATGATTGTTTCATTTGATTAAGGAAAAACCAAGAGAAGGTAAGACTTTTAGGCTAGGTGCTAATTCAATGTTTAATAAGTTATATTAATGTCTTAGAAAACATATTTTTTTCAATCCAACCTATAATTAAGTTGATAAAAAAATATCTAAACTACTAAAAGAAAGATAAAAAAATGTTCTATGTTTTTGTTTATCTATATTTTTATAACTATCAATCCAATTAGTACAAGTTTTTTATTTTCGAACTGAATACGCAGCGTAATTAGTTTTTAACTTCAAAACCAACGTTCTTACTATCATGGCGAAGATATATGAAAGAGAAATTGGAAACATCGCATTTATTTAGATGTTGCGAACTTAGTATGAGTATTGGAAGTATGTTAAGGGTTGTCACATGATAGTAATACTCACGTGCAACCTCTTTAACAGTCCGGTGTCAGTATCCGCGCTTGCGTTAGCGGACTGCTTGGCGGTGTTCCAGAACTGCTTCTGAGCTGAGTAGCGGTTCATAGGGCATATCTTGAACAGGCAATCTGGAAATATCGTCATTGACAACCCTAGCTCTATGACACTCGAAAGACGGTTTGTCATATATTTTTATAATCTTCTCTAGATACATTAAGATAACTCAATAAAGCTCAAGATAATATATATATATGTTATTCTTAACTATATTTACTTATTCTGTTACGTTTAAGTGTGTGTTTCTACTTCTAACTCTATATACATATATATGTGTGTGTGTGCGTGAGTGTGTGTGTATGTGTGTGTAACTTACCTCGGAACTTTTTGGGCGGATCAGTCAGGTCGCCTGCCTCGGGGCATACAACGCACCTGTCATCTACCAACCTGATAATATATAACATATTATATAACATATAAAATTAACTAGACGTTAGTAAGTAGTTTCGTAAATGTACAGTCCAACGCACAAGTTGAAAACGTCTAAAATGTATTAAAATCCTTTTAAATCAAAAGAAAGATATTAAAATAATTATGTTGAATAATTCATGTAGTAAACCAGTGTAAGCTATAATATGTATAATTAATTGGACTCAAACGTCTGACACAAATCCCTGTTACATTAAATGGCGTTTGTATCAGTTAAGCCTGATTGGATTACTGTAAACCCTTTCGCAGTTCTACGATATATATGTATATGTATGAAATAATATACAGGGTGACTAGTGAATTACTATCGATACTTGAGGACGTGATATTTGACGATCATATATGACAAAATAAAAATTAATATAACATAAATATCAATAAACTTCTAAGTAAAGTTAACTAAAAGTTATGTTATTAATTACGCATCGTGTGAACACCCTACAGATTAGGTATACACACACACACACACACACTCGCGCGCGAGGCGTGGTGTTGTATCAGCACGCCGCCGCACGCGTCCACACTTGGAACACTTGGAACGTGTCCACAATTTATTTATTCATACGGAAATTTGGTCAAAAATTAAGTACCTATTTTTTTTACATAATTCGAATGAGAATCATGTACCGAGTATTCTCCTTAAATATTGATAGTAATTCACCAGTCACCCTGTATATTATATATTAAATCATATTATAGAAATATCATCATATATCATAGAAAATAACATACCTATCAAATCAACACAGTAACTATCTTGGAAGATATTTGGAAACCTTAAAAAGTATATATTTTTTAAATTTTACTAAGACTATTTATATGTAAAGAGTAACTTAGAAACGCTATTATACGCTCAATAGATTGTTATTTTAATGAGCAATGTGTAAATTGAAGAGAAAATTTAAAAAACGTCATATAAAGACGACTTGAATGAAAGTTATGACAATAAAAATATGGAAGATTATTAAGTAGAGTGATTGCAATGTCTACCTGCGAAATAAGTAAGTTAATTATATCAAGTTCATTATATCAAGTTCAATCCCGAGTTGATACAAAAGTTTTACAAATACCTAGTGGAAGTAATTCTAAACAAAATCCACCAATAAAAATCCTATTACAGTATGAATTAATAATTAGCTTATATGAAGAAATTATTTAGACACCACTGAAATACGGTGAAGGAAAACATCGTGAGGAAACCTGGACTTATAGTTTCACAATTATAAGTTTGAAATCACCAACCCGTGTTGAGCAAGCGTAGTGATTAATGCTCAAACCTTCTCCATGTGAGAAGAGGCCTCTCAGCAGTGGGCTCTGATAGGCTGATGACGATGCAGAAATAGCTATATAGGTGAAACGGCTATGGGGTCATTGTACTCCTGACATTAGTGATGTATCATGTTACTCACCCTAAGGTACTCAGGAATCCTGCTACGGAGCCCTCCGCGTACAGGGACACGATGTCCCCCAGGTGCAAGAAACTGTCTCCCATCTTGACACCTTGACCCCACCATGCAACGACACCTGGTAAACAATATTTATGGCATGAAAAATGTTGACAATCCCATCAAAGGAAATGTATATGCTACCTCTATTATATATACCAATATTATAATTGTAAAAGTAATTCTATTTTTTAATACGCAACAACTAAATCTTCGAACTTTTCTATGAAGATAGACTGAGCCAAGAACAGAATTATTTTTACAAAAGTTTATTTACGAGCAAAGTAAGGGGTAAAAGCTAGTGAATTATATACATCCTGGAGGAATGGAGCATATTATTGTATATATAATCAATATATCAATAGATTTTCATTCAAAAAGTATTTTTTTATTCTTCTTAAAGAATTATCTTCCTACCAAAATTAAATGCCATGTTTTGTGAAACATCACATAGTATTAGTGTAATATTTCTCGTATGATTTGTTTTTTCCTAAGTCGCTTAACATATACGGCTTCCGCTTTAGGTTGAGACCTAAATGTTTTCTTTCATCAAATGTAATCTCAAGGTGATATAAATTTATATTATTCGTATTATCAAGAGTTCAACACGCAGCATCGTGGAGTATCGAACTATATTTAGTGGTTTAAGAATTGGCTTGTTTTGACAGAGGACTGTTTTAATAGACATTCGAAGTACCCTCACAATTTTAGTCACATGTATTACATTTCTCAAGTTATAATACAGTTATACTGGTTCTTATATTATAGTAGAAGCTACATATAAACGATCCCGTACAACACTATACCCTTATCGGAATAAATACAGTACATATCTTGTTTTCTCAAGATTAATTCGTAGCAAATTTTGTATACTTCTTTTTTGATTAAAGAAACAACCTGTCAGATTTATATAATATAAATAGAGCTTATAATAGTATAAAAATACTAATATATTATCGTAAAACTTTAATGAAAGTATCAAAAGGATAAAATTTTCTTGACCGTTTATTTAAAAGTAAATTACTTGTGTTACTAATAGCAAGATTTATAAATGTCATAGCTTTGTTTATAACATTTATATAAGGAATACTTAATTCAACATCATTTATTACAGTTTGCTTCTTCAAAGCTTTTATGTAAAATGCTATAATGATAAGTTTTAAATCTTATCTAAGTAATATTCACGTCGCCTGGATAGCAGTACTGTTGTAAAGTCATTAAATATATGGTCTATACTCTATAGATATGTAGTAAGATTTAAATGAAACTTATATTATTCGGATTACTACGCGTATTCAATAATTTTAAAGCTACATACTCCCGACGTTTAATTCTCATCACGACTGTCCGTGATCACGGTTGCTGAAAAGTAACCGAAACGTCAGGAGTATGTAGATTTGAAATAATAAAATACGCGTAGTAATCCGAATTTTAGTTTCATTTAAATGAATACTCGCGAAAGTTTTAGATCTCATTGTGTTGTAAGAGTTTTACATGAACTGAAAGTAATCCCTTTATTCTATGAGCTGTGAATCTTTTAACACAATATTGCTGTATTCTTTTTAAAGTTAACAATATAATTTCACATCATACAATATTATTTATTCCCAAAGAGGACTGATGTCAGGCAGGCGGCCGGTCGAAAAACAATTAGCCAAAACTATTCATAAAATGTAAGGCAGACCCTGGCTAAAGCTGGGAAATTGCCAAGTAGAAGAAAGTAGTATAATCTTTATATATATAATTCTTCTGTGAGTGTGTATGTCACTGAATTTCTCTCAAACGACTGGACCGGTTTTGATGAAATTTTTGGTGTGTGTTCAAGGGAATCTGGGAATTGTTTAGATTCACAATTTTATCCGCTGGACAATGTTTTTTTAATTCATTTTTAAGTTATTAGTAGTTGTTGATACAAACGCTTTTTTTTCACATTAGATTTGACAACTAACTAACATGTCAATCATTCTGTCGCACTTCAAAACATTGAGATTTATGGTTTTAATAGGTAAACTCCAAAAATATAAATAAAAAAAACGTACAGATATTTCTTGTTTATAGGGCGATACGAAGTTTGCCGGGTCTTCTAGTATTATATAATTTTCTACTCTATCGAATTTCAAATAAAAGGTATCAAATCTGGGTCCAGTGAATCTCATTTCATTAGTTTTCTGGAGATAAATGTTGTTAGCAGATAGTTTTATGTATCGAAATCTAATATATAAAATTTCCATATCACTATGTTAGTTATCGTACTCCTCAAAACTTTTATATTCGACTTTTATATGTACTTTCAGAGAGTATTTAGACATCAATTACATACGGTGAAGGAAAACATCGTGAGGAAAACTGGACTTATAATTTCACAATTATAAGTTTGAAATCACCAACCCGTCTTGAGCAAGCGGGGTGATTAATGCTCAAATCTTCTCCATAAGAGAAAGAGGCCTTTGCTCAGCAGTGGGCTCTGATAGGCTGATGACATGACATATTAATATCATGGAAAACATTGATAGTTAAGTCTGATAATGAGAACGAAATTGAATTCAAAGAATTTGAAGATATTTTTTGTGTACTTAGTCTAAGTTAAAGTCACACTACATACGTATTAAATAAGATTTTCACTCATAAATCTCTGTATAGTGTTAACGTATGCTACTAATGAGAAACGCGAAACTGTTGGTATATGCGACGACGCAAACTCGGACTATGGATACTGATCTTAAAGAATACTGTGCGGTAATCTTAACGATTGATATACAAAAAATATATATAATCCCTACTAATATTATAAATGCGAAAGTAACTCTGTCTGTTTATTATGATTTCACGTCTAAACCACTGAACTGATTTTAATGAAATTTGGTACAGACATAGAGTTGACCTTGAGAAAGAACATAGGATAGTTTTTATCTCAGACTTTTGAAAGGTTCTCTTGGAAACGCGATATAACCGAACTCCACGCGGGCGAAGCTGCGGGCGGAAAGCTAGTTACTTATAAAACAGGATCAATCATTTCTTGCAAGCTGAAATAAGACATAAACTCGAGTGTTGTGTCTGTTACGAAGTTTATGTAAACTATAGTATTTGTAAACATCTAGTCTTCTGTAAACTTGAACAAAGCGTATCCATACACTTCGAGTAGAAACTACTTTTAATAGTAAGAAATATATACATGATTTAGACAAAGGTTTTTTATTTTACCTTAAATACTGTAATTATTAACGCTGACGGTAAGTTATAAATAAAATTAATAACCTTTTATGTATATGTATGAAAGACAAATTGATATAGAAAAAAATATTAATATATATTTTGTAAACTCTCATAGATGTACCAACGTTATTTTTTTTGTACAGTGAATCATGCTCAATAGTAAGATAAACGCCGACACGGAAACATACAACATAGTATAAACATATACATATATGTTCTTTACATATATATACCGGTTAGCATATACGACACAAACATACACACACTCACCCGATCACATCTTTAATATAGTTCGACGAGTTTCATCAGCAGCTTTAACATGTCGCAAGTGAAATAGAACAAATGCAACAATAACTTATAGAAGGCACGCCTCACGTCTATAAGGTAGTAACTGATAACTATTACTAGGAGACACGCACACAGACATAGTATTTTTCGATTTTTACTTATAACCATCTGAAATCAAAGTGAAGTCTATCTAATGTTGTCTTGGATAAAAATTCTATTTTCAAAATTTCGTATGTCCGTTATGTAAGTTTTAAATTATTTATGTATCTTAGTCACGTTAATTAGTTTTTCTGTTTAGAGTAAAGCCGCGCCTAAGTAATTTACCTAAATACTTGCTTGTTTTACATATATCAATATTATGAAATGGAAAAATCTTATCTGAATTACTTAACGACTATTATAAGGCAAGAAAATACACACCCTCGGCTGTTCACTTATTTAATAAATCATGATTACCGATATGCCAAAACTTTTAACAAAACTTAAAACCAAGAGGATTTTTCGCGGTCTTTTTTTTTTTGTTTGTATGTTTGATAATTTGAATTTGGAATATTATAAGCAAAGAGTTTTTATATTACAGTATATAAGCGACCTTTGGATGTCAAGTATTATCTGTAACTAACTTTTCCCGCCCGTTAGATAGAGCCAATCAATATGTGAAGTGGATGCGTTAAGGCTAATCAGGCAAAGGGTTTTATTTATACAGAATCCTCTCGAGCGTGACACTCCTTTGCGGGCTCACTGACCTATATATTTTAATTATCTTTCTGTTGACTTAATTCTATATATATTTTCGCCTTTTTTATATTTACAAATATTTTTTTACGCAATTGTTGTCTTGAGCTATTTAGGTCAGTAAAAATTGGTTTTAAAAATTATGAAAGCGTAAAATATAAAAGATTTATTCATTCGTAGCGCTTCAATAAAATAAAATAGAAAAAAAAAGAATTTCGAAAGAAAAATGTATGATATTGAATTTTTATAAATGATTACTTCCCAAATCAAAATTTTAGTCGTGTTTTAAGTGTTCAGTATCAAAAAATTCTAAATTATGCCGATATTATATCGTCAGCGTTGATAATAGACTCAATTAAGGTCATAGGAAACGAGTGATTTGCCAAAATTTATGTGAACTTTGATCTTGAATTGCAATTGCTACGAGCAATATCGAATTGCAAGCACAATTGTCTAAACCACAAACAGCAATTCGAATGTCGTATCTTTAAAACAGGTGTTAATCTGACATTTAAAGCCTTATTCCAATAGCACTATGGACCAAAATCCTTTGAATTATCACTTTTAAAACACTCTCCACATTTTTCCCGATGAGAAGTCACGCGGAAACTGAGGTTTTCGACCGGTTTTCATGAAAATTGTTGTAATGTAACCTTGTGGTGTATTTGTTTATTTTGCACTATATACCTCTTTCATGTTTTAGTATATTTGGGTGATGGTTTTGTTTTGTTTGAACGTAACACATACATACATACACATAACTGTCAGGGAGATCAACGGAACTGTGAGGAATGGAATTTCTCATAATTAG